ATTACTTTTAAAGAAGATAAAAAAAAGAAACTGAGAGTTATACTGGATAAACACAAGAGTTTCATTTTCATTTTGATGACAGCCAAAATCATAAACAAATTTGCCGTGTGAATCCAGTATTACGTGTGAATACAGTATCACGCAGTACAAAAACAAAAAACCTTATGCTACACAATGGGGCTTAATAATTTTCTCCATCCGGTTTTGCCATTTTGCCCACCCCGTCCTTACTCACCACAATATTTGTTAAAATAAGAGCATTTTCTGCGTCATTTCGTTGTTTGTTTTGGTTTTGTGACACTAAATATGCGACACAAGAATTATGTGGAAGCAAACATTTTGATTAGCAGCCCTACCGATTTTAATATCTGACAATTCTAGTATAGTAATTAGATAAGAGAGATTTTTTTGCTATATTACACAAAGTGGCATAATTTTTCAAATTATCCTAAAAGATTCGCTTATGTATATTATGTGATTTCGATATTCGAGCAGGTGAAGTACACCCGAATTCAAATATATGGATCGTGCACCTGAAAAGCATGGATCCTGAAAAACATACTATAATGACTATGATTGTTATGACATTCACAATCTATACCAGAACTTGTTACCAATAATTGAACAATGATTTAGTCAACCACACCAAAACAAAATCTAACTAACTTTAGGATTTCTTATAACCAGATTTGTGAAAATTAAAGCAGATGAAGCTACATAAGCTAATATAAATAAATTTATTTATTCCTTTTTTGAAAGCTGAATAATGGTTTAGTAAAAACACACATCCATCATTCACATTCTGGGCTTTGGGCAATTTTTTTAAGCTTTAAAACTAGTTTAGATTAATGTACTAGTACTATTCTATGGACTAGAATATAGGCTATTACATTTAAAGTTTTATTTACAGAATCTTTGCACTCAGAATTCTCAAACCTCATTAAATTAATTTAGAATTCATTTGACCCTGATTGCTACATATTTATTAAGTTATTGCCATAATGTGTACATATTGCCATATATCCATCAATATTCTTTTTTAGACATATTCATTGGCTTTATTTCTCTGCAAATAATTTTTAGATGACAAGTCTAGTTTAGCTATACAGTATAGTACAGACTAGAATATAGAGAATCACATTCTTCGCTGTTTTAGATATTGCCAAGTATCCATCGATACTGTTCTTTGGAATTATTTATTGCTTTTAATTGTCTATACACAATTTTTAAGCTACGTAATAAGTCTTGTTAAACTATATGTCATAGTACTATCCTATGGAATAGCAAATAGACTATTAAATTCTTTGCTTTATTTACATTAAGTAATATTATATTTTCGTTTACAATTAACGAACCACATTGCCGCTTTTTTGTATAGATTTCGTGTGAAAAACTGCACTAATTGTTACACTTTTATTGATTTAAATGCAGTAATGTATACATATTGTCAAATATCTATCAACACAATTTTATGAATATATTTATTAATTTTAATTGCTCGTATATAGTTTTACGCTGAAAAACTAGTTCAACACTGGTCTTCGGAAATATAGATTAGAATGTAGACTAATTCATTTATTGAATAAATTGCGGTAGTGTAAACGTAGAGTAGGATATTTAATCTTTATTTATTTTTAAGATTAATATTTCAAAATTTTTAAGTTCACTGAAAGTTAGCTTTCTGAATCTAACTTTCCTTAAATTAAGATTTTGTATAAAAAGTTATTCTAATTGCAACACATTTATTGAGTTAAGTGCGATAGTGTAAACATAGAGTAGAATATTTGATCTTCATATCTTTTTAGAATTAATATTTGAATACGTTTAAAGTTGACTGAAATTTATGTAAAAAAAAACGAGTTTACAACATATCCGACTATGCGGACGGACAGACGGTTAAGTTATCCTCATTGTTCTTCTAACAACTTCTTAATTCAGCTAAAATATAGAAAACATCTAACTTTAATATTATTTATAAGATAAGTCTTAACTTCTTAGTTATCAAGTGTAAATGCCCATAATTCCCTTCACTAATCTCATAATATATTTTTTCCCTAACTCCTCTTTAACAGACAAAAAAAAACATGCAAACATATACACATATACAATATATTTTTGCGGTTAAGCTAAGAAATTAATTTATCGCTTCGCGAACACCATTCCGTCTAAGCCAATAGGTATTGGCATCCCAGCTTCCGCAATAAGGCCTTGTAAAAACTTCTTCCCATTCTCGGTTCGTTTAGTTGCACAGTTTCGTTCTGGGTTATTTTTTGTAATAATGTTGGGTGGAATTTGGTTGGCTTAAGAAGCTTTGGATTGGCAAGGGTTTGCAGTTGCCATTGGTTTTTATTCATTTTGTGAGTATTAGCAACTTTTGCTACCGCTGCCGCTTCCAGTTCCACCTCTACTCATACCAATATTATTATTTCTATTTTTGTTCCAAAATAAATTAATGGTCCTAACTTAAATTGCAAATCGATATTTATTGAAAGCATCATTTGTTCTGGTCATAAAAGGGATTTTGTAAGCATTTTGCTTTTAATGGCAAGAATCATAAAATTTCACTACGCAAACCTATAAACCTACAAGTGTAGAAAGCTATTGGTACAATCTTATATTATTTTTATTTATTATTTTGCTACTTAGTATTTGCATCTAACGAACAAATGGCGTAGAAACCAGAAGAAATGGTTGCGTGCAAATGGCTGTTTACTAATAAGTCATAAATAAAGATAAATATTTGGAAAAACACACCTATTGTTATGAAAAAAAATTTATAAATTAATTAAAAGAATGCAGTATCATAGACTTACATTTTTTAATCTTTCACCAATTTAAAAGTAATTATATAAAGTATTATATATATTTTTCTTTATGAGCACTCTGTTCATTCGATTACGCTCTTAGGGAAGTCACAATTCAATATACTCTATTTGACTTCTCATATGATAAAATATACTAAACAATATAATCAATCACCTTATCATTTAAAAATTTAATAATATATATATATATATATAAATTTTTTTTTTCAAGATCAATGAAAATCATTTTTACATAAAATATTCTCTAGAACTAGTTAATAGCTCAATTCTGACTAAATCAAACTATTGTGAATTACTCAGATAATCGTGAACGAAGGACCGCAAGGCTCGTCCCAGAGCTAACAAAATAGAGTAGCAAGGAACTTCTGCGAGGTTAACTACTACCTCACTGAGTTTCTACCTCTACCGCTACCTCTATCGCATACACAAAGTAGAGTCACCAAATTGTATGTATTGCGCAGCTGAGTATGATACTCCAGAACACACATTCTTCGAGTGCAATATGTGGCTACTTGAACGAGAAGCGCTACTAGCGTAAGTTGGTGTTTTCTTCCCAAAGACGGTGAGAGAAAACAAAAAAAAACTAGAATAGCATAGTAATATTTGCTGAAAAAATCCTGAGATTGAAAAAAAATAAATTTCGACAGAAGTCTGCTGGAGCAAGCAGATGTATCACACCAAGTTGAAGCGCAAGATTAATCATCTGAAGCAGTTCCGGGGCCTGAAAGTAGGGATCTTATTAGTGATATGAATATCTACCACTTTGAGTGGTTCATAGTATTCCTTTTCTTTTTTACTTAATGAAACGTAAGTTCGTATCTAAAGCAGCTTAACTTAATGGTTTCTAGTAGGGTAATCCACTGTAGTCCGAACTCTATTGAATCAGTATAATCAGCTATTCAGGTGAACTTATAGAGGTGTATTTGAAGCCCAGGTTATCCTCCTGACGAAAATATTATAAAGTGCACTTGATTTAAGAGAGTCAAATTCTGACTATGTGTGAGCACCCATCAATCAAACAATTTCAGCCCACTGTCTTCGATATACATACTTTTGTTCGTTGCCATAAGATACACAATTATAAAGTAGTTTAGATGAAATTATTTCCTCCTAAAGCAGAATTTTATTTTTCACACCTCACTATCCTTTATTAATGATTATAGAACATTTAGTTATATTACAAGCCAATTTTTTGACCCTTATGTTCTCTGGTCAAGTATATCGTTATCCAAAGTTATGCTTACGCTTTTTGTCTTTTCGATAAAGACATTTTTAATCTACTATGTTTCACTCTATTTAATTTAAACTATTTACTAACATCGAAGTGCTTCAGTCTCTATAGTCTTATTTTATTATTTTTTAAGTGGTTTAAAGTTGAATTTTTTACTAGATAAGTAGTTGATGTTTATTATTTTGAAAGCTTTAAAAATTCCATCATCACCTGATAGGCATATCATGCCTTCACGAAAGAAAATGCTGTAGAAGATTTTTAGTATAGAACAATTATTTTTATACCGAATTCTGTTCCTTTTAGTTATTTATGCTTTTATATATAAAATCTAAATCTATTGCTTTGATTCATTGGAGCAATTTTCAACCTCTCGGTTATGCTAAGCTATGCCTCCCAGCATGAGTGACACAATTAAACACATTCATTCTTCCGCCTCGGTGCCTAAAATTTGCAAAATGTAAACCACATAAGCAAAAACCTAGTATAAAAAGGAAGGGTCGTGCATTCCATTCATTCCTGCATGCAATTTCTGTTATTTATAAACCATCTTATCTAAATAACAAAGCGCTACATATACCAAAAATATATATATATATTTATATATATATATATTTATATATACATTTATACCATTTTACCATTTTCCGTTTTCTTTTGTTTTTATCAACGGCAGAAGGAAATAAAATTATTTAAATTAAAATTGATGAGTTTTCGGTATAAAAATCCTTTTTGATCCCACGAGATATAAAAACAAGTAAAAGTAAGGATTTTATAATTTTTCATTTAAAATACTTAAGCTGGATTTTTGTAACACATATTTTTTACGTTTTTGCACAAAAAAAAATTTTTTTTTATTAAATTCTATTATAAATTTGTTAAAGAATATAAACACAAAACCATGGCAATATACCATAAACAATTTCAAAAATAAATTTAAGCATTTTTTGTATTTATTATATGCTTTATAAGAATTTAGAAACTTAACTGACAGAGCAATGCCGTGCCACGTTCAATCCAATGTGAAGTTTTCGTTTTGGGATTACACAGTAGTAGCATGGCCACTACGAAATTTGTACTGTGTCCAGTTGTGGATAGCACACCACGTCGTTCAGCCGTTTTATACAATGGACAGACATAAGTATGTTTCTCAATTAGGTCATCACGTTTCAGCGGTTTCATCCAAATAACTGGCACTCTGTCAAATAGTTCACGTGGATGAGATTCAGCTAAGAAATTATTTTTACGATCCCAGCAAGCACCCTCCAAAAATATGCCATATACAAACACACCATCAGCAGGTGCTGGCACTCCAACCATATCTTCTTCCTCTTTGCGCAATACCTCATAATCGAAACATAATAAATCTATTGGTATCACATACTTACGTGCGTAATTCTGTTGAGCACCAGTGAGGAAAGCTTGTGTGAAAAAGAAACCTGATAACCAAAAACTGCTCGGAGGTCCATGGTCGTACCATTTCTAATAAAAAAAAATAAGAAATAAATGAAAATAAGTAAAAAAATTAATTTTTTTTACAAAATAAAATTAAAATTGGGTTTTGCTTTGAATTCTTGGATCGATTTTTGGTTGAAATATTTATGGTTAAATATACTTTAACTATATGTACCTACTTTAGTTAGTTATTAGTTTAATATGCTTTTTATCACATAAAAATTTTTTACTTAAGTTTTATACATAAATAAAAAAATATGATTAAAACCATGTACAATTCAACTTTAAACACTAGAAAATGGCTTTAAAATACTAGAAATGATTTATAATTTATATAGTAAAAGACATAACTGGAGTTAATGTCTGCTTAAAAAATACAATAAAATGATTAAAATAATTAAAATAAGAAAATTTAGATAAAAGCTTTTATTATAAAATATTAAACAATACAAAGCCAGCGATAGAGACTAAAGAAAATCCACCAAAGATACTCCAACGCCTAACTCGTAATGTGTAAAACTAATGACTTATATTATATTTGTTATATTATAAACATAATATGCTTTTGGCAACTATTCCTCAAAAATAAGAAAATAGTTTAATCGAAAGCCTTTAGTATTTGTAAATCAATTAATAATGTTTACCCATCTCTGAATATTTTGTGTTCGTTCAAAATCATCTCCATTCTGATCTACAAATATATTTCAATGCGTCTACACTTTTTATAAGCCAATTAAACAATTCTAATAAATGCAAATAAATAAAAATACAAATATAAAATCGAAGCATATTTAAGAGTAGAAATTTCAAGTTTAAAGATGGTCATCAAAATCCATAAATCTCTTAAATCCATAAGCCGGGCACAGCAATCTAAAAGAAAACTGTAAGCTGACCAATTAAGAAATTACTACTAAAAGAAAAATAACTAATTCGTATTTCCTTATCGTCGTTCAAACTCATAGATAAGTTATATCTTTCTTAATAAAATAGATTAACGCCGAAATCTAGGAATAATGTTTCCACATGAGACTCGATGAGAAGCTACTGTGATAAGTAAAAGAAAGACACCATCAAACAATTTTTCAATTTCATTTCAAAACATTACTCAAATGCTCAAATTGGAGAATATGTCACATATTCCCAGTATTTCACTACCAAAGCTTTTCATAGCGTCAAAAAATTGGTTCAATGAGTTATAGTTCTATATACCTATGTATAAGAAGCCCTACTGGAAGCAATTCTATTATAATGATCTGATTTGACTGTCGCATTTTATAGCAAATTAATAAATCGACAACTACGCTAGACCTCTATACAAGGTATTTATAAGGTATTGAAGTTATAACTATGGTTTGTTTCAAGTAAAATTGGTCTGCCTATATCTATTAATAAAGAAATCGTAGTCTTACCTTACGAGTTTTTTTAATTCTTGAGCAGATTTTTTTCCAAATTTAATATACTTTCAAATGAATTACTCTTTATATTATATATTATATTTCTATATTATATATATGAATTAATTTGTTGATTTTTTTAAGTTAAAAACGTAGAACGAATATAATATATAGAGGGGATTGAAAAGCAAAAACTCAAAAAGTCTACAAAATTTCACTTTAATAATACAAATTAAAATTTCTACATTAAGCTGTTTTTAATCTGTTTCATATTAATTATTTAATAAATAGAAATGTAATCATTTTAAAATACATTTACTCGTGCTATACCACAAAGAAATATTTTCGGCATTAAAAATAAATCTTTCGCTATATCGACTAGTAACCGTTTTTCGAATAAATACGTTTGCTAGCGTGTATCTCACGCTAAAAAAATGTTTATTATTGTTATTTATACGTTGCTAGGATATAATAGGATATAATCACGTTACATATATATACAAATTCCTATACATAACATTACTTAGACAGTTGAAATACTTACCTGTAAAAACTCCAAACGTTGCAGAAAATCACCGACATAACTGCCAAGTGGCTTTAAGCTCGGATAGGATTTACTAGCCCACATCTGCGGTATTTTTGCTATCAATACCGATTTGTAAACTGCTTCCATGGGAGCAGACATTACGACAAGTCCTACAGAAGAGCACGGAAATAAAAAACAAAAATATATATATTTATATATTAATGTGAATATAATAAAAAGAGAACAAAATAAAAAAAATGTTTAACAATAAAACATCTCAAAACAAAAAAAAAACAGAGAAATGAAAAATCAGTCTCTGTAGTCCTTTTAGCTGATGTGGCACAACTATAATCCAATCGCAACAAATCTGCAGAGTATAAAAAATACGTAAAAATACATAAAAATACGTAAAATTGTGAAAACTGTCAACGTAAGCTGTTAATGCATCCCCACGTAGGTACGTATAACCCGAACAGGACGTACATCATAGAAAAACATAATATTAAGTGCTTATGCGCGATATACACATGCTCCCGTAGTAAAAAATGGTTATGAAAATTCGTAAACTCTATTAAAAAAAATATAATATATAGTAAAACAAAAGTAAAGAAGTGCAAATGAAAAATGAATACTCTTTTATGAATTGTATTTAAAAAAAAAAAAAAAAAAAAAAAAAAAAAAAAAAAAAATGAGCAGTTCACATACAAGTAATAAATAATTTTTCTACGAAAATTGTTTTTCACATATTTTATATTTAAAATTATTACTCATAAATTGGCTGGAAATTTCTATTAAATGCTATAAAACTGTGCACTCACAATTTAACTGCAACTGTTTAAACTACTTTTATAACAAGTGTTCTTTTCTCATGCAGCCGAAGAGCTTGAATGTAATTTAAAATATATCATAAATCTTATATAAAAATAAAGAAAAAAAGAATAATGATACAGTGAAAACTCTCTTGAACGAACACCGACGAAACACCAGACAATTCTGCGGTCAATTGTCAATTCAAAAAACCATTCTTTATATGAAAAATAATAACTGGAGACTAGCAACGTACCACGGTTAAAAGAGATTTGCATCAGATTTACATAACAACATCCATAAGAACCATGCTTATTCTACACAGTACAAGCTCTCTTAAGCTCTCTTAACACCAACGAATGCTGCGGTTAAAAGAATTGTCTGTTTAATAGAACTTTTTATATGATAACTTTATATAACTTTATATGTATGTACGGTTAGTCATCATCCATTTATTTCTCTACTCGTTCAAGAGAGTTTTAACTCTATAGTAAAAACTATCTTAAGTGGGCACCGACGTAGCACCAGATCGTCGGTAACACCAGAAACAAAGCCAGATTTGCGATCAAAACAATTCTGCGGTTAAAACAATGTTCCGTTTAAAAAATTAAAGGTTCACAGATGTCACAGAATCACAGAAGTTGTTATATATCTCGATGTCGTACTATAAGTTCGCCATCGATGACTCGGGCATCAGTATCTAAAGTTACTGATATATTTTTTTAAGGTTCATTAAAGGTTCATCAAAGACTGGAATATATCTAAAATCTCTTTTTATGTCAGTATTATATTAAACTTTCTTATATCGTCTATAGTTTCCACCAACTTATTAATATAGAATTGGTGAAAATTATAAACTCTTATATGTAACAAATACACATTACTAGCAATGTGTTAAATAAACAACATTAAATTTATTAAAAATTTTATATAAATTATATCATTTTTAATTATGTTATATAAAGTTATGTCAACTTTTTATACATCTTTACGGATAGATGCATAATCATATAAGTTTATAATAGCATTAAACAAAGCTTAATCGACATATTTTCTAATTTTATTTTAATATACAAATTATTATCAAAAATGAGCGAAATCAAATTTCAGTGATTGGATTAAATACTCTAACATCTCATACAACTGCAATTTACTATTTTAATATCAACCTAATGAGAATTAAAAATTCTCAAATTTAGTCGGCACAGTACTTAGTATGAACACAATGAGAATTATAAATTCCTAAAACTCTAGGGGCGCTCTTGACCCCCTACCCTAGCTAAGTGACTGTCTGGAATTTATTTATATTAATCGTAAATTTTATTTAATGGACATTTAATATTGTATTTATAACACTGTAATCTAAAACGATTAATAATTCAATGTTATTGGAAATAAAAGATATATATAATGTAGAAAAAGAAATTTATGTTTAAGCTACCAGTCTGTATTAGACTTAAGCGTGATTTTGGTCAATTTTTAATACAGGTTATCTATGGCTTAACTCAAATGGACCACCAAAATATCAACTTCATACAGTTTATTTTTATGTTGTTATCCATGTCGATGGCCGATATCAGGGGTATGAAGAAAAATCTATCCATTTTTTTTTATTGATATTTCAACAATCAAAAAACAATTCGATTTAAAATTTTGCATTATTAATGGAAGCAGTGGCAGTCGCTTTTAAAATGATTATTCTACGAAATGTTTTCAATAGCCTAAAAATTTCTGGAATTAATCTAATTTGAGGTTGCTTATAATAAAACGTGAAAGCTTCAACATATACTCGCATAAAATTTCAAACAAAGAACACCATTGGTGAACGGAAATAGTTTCTTTCTGTTTCCATAAACTTCACAATTTTTCATCACGTAATTCCCTCTTTTTTCGAAAAAGATTCCATTCTGTTTTTGTCGAGCTTCACATGCTTGTATTCTCCTTAATTTGCACGTCGTCTTCGTGAAATTTTGTTGCAACCAAAAATTTAATTGAATTTTATTTTAATTAAATTTCTATAAAATTTTTCAACAGGTGCTGTTGATACTGAAGTCAAATTTGATGTTGACAAGTTGACAAACAACCAGAAGAAGAAAGCGTTGCAAGCATGTTCCATCAATCGAAATCTCGTCCTATACAATTAACCAATTCTCGACTTCAGCATAAACAACAATGTACAAGAATTCCTGCCGGCTTTGCTACTGTCGTCGCTACTGTTCCGTCCCAGTATATACCAGAAGAAGAGGAAGAACCGAAAAAACTGAAGAGGAAGATGTGCACACGTGGCACTCAGTCGGTATATCGGTAAGTATGGCATTTCTATACTGTATACTCGTATTTTATACTCTAACTACTCGCAGTAAATAGAACTTTATGATGCGATGTGGTACGGTATTGTCTGATATATTGTGCATCTCGAGTTGATTAAATTAAAAGATGGTTAAGTTAACTTTTTGTTATGGCGAAGGTGGTGAATTAATGTGTACTTTCTCTGATAATATTTTGATTTAAAAAAAATTCTTTCGTCAGTTGCGCCAACAACAATACTCGAGGGTGGATATGCGTAGTGTAACTTATACACTTGAAAAAAATGTTCATTTAAAATTGAGTTTTTCAATGTTGACTATGTGTAAACGCTTTAGAAAATTTATTTCAATGTATTTCTATTTAGACAATTTTATGCAGTGTAAAAACTAATAACAACTCTTAAGCTATTTCATCCCACCCCACCACTGTACACACTTGTCACGAAAGACAGAGCACCCTTAATGTAGCAAACAGTTAAAGTACTTTAAAATTTCATTTCATTGACATAAAGTCCATTAAAGTCTCCAACCTACGGTTGGGAAAATCTGTAGGAAAATGGACAAAAAATTGTAATGAAAGGATGTTTGGCTGCAGATAGGAAGTGATATGAAGAGTAAAACGCAAAAAGTTAATAAGCGTAAAGTACGTTCAGTTTGCTGAATTATAAATGAGTAAAATAGCTAATGAATATGATTTTGTATCGCTGATTTGCCGCCACTCTGCGACTACGTAGGCGGAATGTCATAAGGAAGTAAGCTGAGTGAATTTTTAATATATATTATTTATATAGATTACCGTGTTCCGACAGTGAAATTGTCGGGCTGCAAGTTAAAGTTTGGAGTGCTTAATAAATCATTAAGATAAGAGATTTATAAATAATAAAAATTATCAACGTAGAGGAAAGGATGCTTAACTCATAATATAAATTTTAATGATACTTACAGTGATGGGATCACTTAGTTGAGCGTTTGTTGGAATTTAATTTTTTAATAAGAAGCTACTTACAAAAACATGTAGTAAAACAGACGTTTACTTAAAGATACGAAGCTGCTCTAAGACATAAAATTTATTCCTGCTATTTAAGTAAATATATAGCCAAGCACTGCTTCGAAATTAGTGTATTTTTATATTACACAATACTTTTCCAGTATACTTTTGTGCAGAAAGTTAATTTCTTTTCAAAAAACAAGTATTTATTTATAATATATATTTATTGACTTATTAAAATAAACCAAATTAGAGCTTATCACACTTCAATTTTAAACCAATAAATAATTCGGTAATTTGTAATATACTTCAGAAATACTCATAGCTTTCAGATAATTTCAGAAATTAAAAAAAAAATTATATCTTTAACAGTCACAATACATTCATTTTTATAGTTTAAAAATTTTTTTTAATTTTAATTTTAATTAAAATTAACTGACTTCCTAAAACCTAACTAAGTACCACTTCGACGGATTGCCTCCTCATACATTCAACGGTGATTGTAGTAAAAGTAATAAACTGCTCTCTATAAAAAACTATTTTTGTAAGAAGATATATAAAAATTATACAATATTTTTAACAGGATATATTTCGAAGATAATATAAAATTGATATAGAAGAAGGTAGAAAAATAATTGATAATGATTTTTATTTAAAAACCGTATAATAAAAAAATTAATTTTTAAAACTCATAATATTCCAACTTAAATAGAAAAACATTTGAAGATTAAGTTAAACGATTTTCAATAAAATATAAAAAAAATATAACAGATAAGGTTTTCGATTATAAGGATTTCAAGATATTGACAAAAAGCAAATTTTTTTTGGAATTTCTTAACACAATATATCGACTGAAAATAAATCATCAAGCCAAATTACATTTCCCTACCTCATTATATGATTTTCTTCGTTTCTTTAAGAACACATCATTGCTGGAAATAATTTTATTAAACAAGCAAAGATCTTTGATATTTTTGTGTAGTGTATTATTTTCGATAATTGCAAAGTAGACGAGGTACCCAGAAGGGGTGCTTCAGAAAACCACTCGGAACACCTAAACAATCTGTGCATATCGTTGACATCATGCAAATTGGTATTGAGTTCTTTCTGTGCTGAACTTTTCAATAAAAGATGGGAAGACTTTACGATATGTAGACAACTGTATGAACTTTGGGCACACACAAATAGAAGAAAATCGAACTCTCTCATATAGATTTCCCGTAGAGATATCAGTCATGCAATAGGTTTACTTACAGACCATTGTATTCTAGCTAACCATGTTAGGAGACTAAATCTCCCTTTCAACCATATCTGCCGCAGTTTTGTTGAGAATGATGAACGCACCTCCCACCTGCTTTGCTTCTGTTCGGCATATGCACGTCGCCGCCTTAACATTTTAGGGGCTTTCTTCTTTGAGAATCTTGTCGAACTTCAGAACCTCCCTTTAAATAGCATCATAAACTTTGCCAAAGGTTCTAGATGGTTTTAACCCTTGGGTTTTTTAATAATACGGTAGCACAATGGGCTTATGGATCCCCCTAGGATCGCCTGTATAACCTAACCTAATATGTAGAATATATAGAAAAAATATCATCAATAAAAAGTAATTTGATTTTTTTATATTTAACAATAGTGAATCATCTGCTCAAACTTTACCGTATTTAGTGACAATCGCTCCCGATAAAATAACTGATTTACACAAAAATGAATTATTTAAAATGGCTACTGAGCTAACAATTAGCGACCATCCTGGGGTCAAGGAGGTTGAAAAACTTGAACGCGCTCGTAGACGTTGGCAATATGCAGAAAATTGTCAACAATATGTACTCAAAACTTCAGTCGCTACTAAAATGGTGCAACTCTCAAGGCAACATAGACGACTTTATAAGTTATTTGGTTGGGAACGCACAATGGAACGTGAAGCTGATCTGCTGGATGAACAAGAGTTACGACTAAATTATGTAGTTCAATGTATGAATAGACGTTCCAATGCATTTAGAGAAAACGCTGATAAACGTATACAAATGCGTTTCGAAATGGAAAAAGTAGAACTACAAAAATTTGTACAAAAAAATCGCATACAATATCAACGAGAACTGAGACGCATAGAGAAAAGCTCAAAAATATTCAAAGATAAAACAGATCATCGTGTCGGATCAAAGAATACTATACTTAAAACTAATGGAATTAAACAAAGAAAGCAAATAGAACCAAGTAACACTGATTTCGAAATGCAGATATTAAATATGAAAGACTTTGTTTGTCCATTTGCGAAAGTGAAACGTTGGTCAAAACCCAAGGAACGTTTAAGAGAAATAGAACAAAATTTTTGTACAGATAAAAATTTACAAAAATTATATGAAAGCTTGAAGGTAAGTTAAATGCAAAAGCAAGAAATTTTGTAACAAAAAACTTCTTTCTACTACAGGTCTTGAGAGTTGAGTCCAGCAAAAAATTACTTATACCGAAATATCAATTTACAAAGCAGTTTCTACAAAACACAGAAGAACCTCACAATATATTAGAAAACATCAACGTCACTGATGAGATAGAAGAATCAGAAGACGAAGAAGAAAATGAAGTGCAAAGTGATACACTTACCACAGCCTCAAGTCATAAATTGGAGCAGGAGCCTTACGATATATTACCAGAAGCATACAAGCAAACTTTAGCCACACTATTTTCAGATAGTCCTAGTGAGGAATTGGTTGCTCTGCTAATGGATTGCGATAATAAAACTTTGTCTGATATCATGACTAAAATGCATGAATTGAGGAATAGCACTGCAGACATCAAGTTTAAAGAATTTAATGCCATTAATAATATTAAAATAGAAAATATAAATATTACACAATTTATGCAACAATTAGAAATATTTAATATAGGCGAAAATACTGAAGAAACTCAAGACTCAGTAGATGTTAAAAATTTTGAAGAGGCCGGAGTAATTGTCAAGGGAATATTATATGACAATTTAATACCACAAATAGAGTTTCAACAAGAATCCTATTACATATGTGGTTGTATCTTAGATGAGATATTGCTTGATTATGTGGATATATTAGAAGATCATAATACAGAAAATTCTTTAACAATAAGTGAACTAAATGATGACTTTGATTAATATATTGATGAAGAAAATGATGAAAATAAAAATAATGATAAAAAATTAAAAACTATGAATAACAGTAAATAAAATATAAATTCTGGAACCAATATTTAAAATTTTTTCCAATCTCATTATTAATTTCAATAATCAATAGTTCAAGTATATTATATTAGCTCTGAATTGAGTTAAGTAGGTTTTTCTTTGTTGAACATAACAGAAAGTCTGTTTTTAAAAGAGTTTAGTTTATTTTTCTTTACTTCAGTTCACTTAAAGGTTGTTTGAAATGATATCACTTCATTTCAGTTCAAGTAATAACAATTCTAACTGTTACTTTACTCTTTAGAGCAATTAGCATTGAATTAAGCTTAAGCTTTCCGCTTAACAGTTAATCCGCCAGCTAGAAATTGCACAAAGCCAGGCTCTGAGAAGACTTTTTAAAGTGCCATGGTACATTAGGACGCATAACATCCTCAGGGACCTCAAGATTGATCCCATCAGAAAATACATAAAGGATAGAGCCCTGCAATTATTTGCGAAAACTGACAGACTTACCAATACCGCGTTATCAAATCTCAGAATTGTTAGAGGCTCCTCGAGGAGGTATATAGATCTGTGGTCAATTATTGCTTAGTTTGATGTAGTGATAAACAATAATCCAGTCAAGGTATAAAGAGCGGTTTTGAAAATACCTCGAGTTAAAAAAGTGTAAAAGTGCTCAAGTGCACTGCCTCAAATAGCTTCAACATAATACACACATAATCTTGGAAATGAAATCAAAAAAAATATTGCATTTTTTTCAATATTTTTTAGTTAATTTATATTAACATACTATAGACTGACATAAAACTTATATATATATCACTATATGAGTACAATAATTACAAAATATGTTCTTTGAAATCGATCATTTTTCTAGCTCAAAGAATTAATGTAACTGTCGGTGCCCTCTATATAGTGTTTCATATTTAACTTACCTTTAATAGCCTTGCGTAAAGTAACCAAACTATTACGTATAGTATTCAGTAGCACATTGAAACGTGTCATCTCCTGCACAAGCACAGTATTCATACTTTGATGATAGATCGTAGGGTACTTAGTAATAGCAGCTTCACGATCAAAAGCTTTAGGCAATTTTGCTAAAATATCTGTAGCTACATTAATGACCATATCTTCGGGAGTTAGCGGTTTTCCACCTCCACTCTCTTCTTGACCACCTTGACTTGTATCCTTGTAATAAAGAGAAAGGATATTAGGATATGAAGGAAAGGAGGGTAAAAGGAGATTTTCAGGAAAGCGTTTGGATAAATTTTCTGCATGAACTTTTAGGGATTTTTGTAATAACTTTTGGAAAGAAATTAAAAAAAATACTTTTATATTAATTTTTTGTTTTAAATTAACAGAATGAACCAACTTACGCGCTTCTCATATAAATCCTTTTATAGGTATGTAATTAAAGTAATTTTAAATATATTATTATATAATTTATAATATTTATTGTTTATGAGTTTCTCACTTACCACACGATCCTAATTTATATGTGATTGATATTTAAAAAATATTTTATAAAATAATTAGTTTATATAAAATTAATAAAGGATTTTAGGCTATTTTAAGTTAAATAAACTACATTAACACTCATATTAGCCCCGTCTTCTTTCTCTTTATGTGAATGATGTAAAATAATCCATCATAATGGATTCAATCATTTATTCACTCACCCAATTATATGTACATACAACCCTATCTCTATTTCGAAATACAATTTATTTAGCTCAATTCTTCACTGTATGGCAGTAAATGCAGTACATATGGAAAAATAACAGAAAGTAGTCTATATATACTATGCATATTGACAACAAAATGCAAGAAAACCACTACTTCATTCAAATTTTGCATTATTAGAACTACTGAAATATTATTTAAATAACTAAACTACCATATATTTTGACAACGGGCCAGATCGTCTTTATAATTAATATAAGTTATAAATTCTTCACATATCTCTACCTACTCTAATATTTCCAGTACTAAATTTTATACTAACCTGTGTCAGTAGGGTATGGGCAAGCAACATATCAGTTTCATGTTGATCTTTCATAATATCTGCATTGGCATGGAAACCAAATATCGCTGGCGCGGTTTGTTGTGGCAATTCTTTTGTGAAATTCATATAATTTTCTATTTCCTTGAATACCGGTACGTAATAGAAATGCGACTCATCAAAGTAATGTACATTTTCAATATCGACCACTTCCGGACTATAATATATGTTTAAAATTGTTTTTAATGTACGTCTATCCCAATCATCAGTTACACGTCCGCCATAATTACATTCACCAGTTAAATAACGCAGAGCATCATAATTAACACCTTCATACTGATCCAAAAACATCTTCAACTGCATTAAACTAATGCGTAAATCAGTTTCATTAAATTCATATGGAATATTCCATCCAATTGGACCAAAATATCGGCGTTCTTGTATAACAGCATGAAAAAAGCAGAGCGAGTATATCAACTGCTTAAAAGTTTGGGATTGTCGACATGATTCATACCATTCAGGATCACTTATCGGATCGCTTAACATTGACCGTACAATATTTGATCGTAAGCCTTTGGGTGGTTCATTAGTCATTTTTATACCGTTTTGTAGTACAACAACTGGAAAATGATCGGCTGGATATGAAGTAAGCCACAGACGAAAATCAGGATGCGTAGTATCCAAGACCATACCTTCACATATTTTCTCAAGCATGGGCATAAAACTTTTAGCCAAATGGCAATTCTGTAAAACAACCCAATTTCCTAATTTTATACCTTCATCGATCATTTTTATAGCAATCGGACCCTGCCCTTGACCAAGTGATAGCGAGAATAGACGATTTGTTCCGAAACCTTGTTCATCAGCAAATTTCAATAAGGTTGCTGTTGGATCTGAACCAGGAGTTAAAACAAAAATCAAAGGTACACAACAATGTGAATCAGCGTACGAAGAAACTAAATCAAAAGGTGGAGGATCGGTAAATTTAGGACCAAGTTCCGCTAAAATAAAAATTTTAATTTATACCATTATATTTTTTGCACAGAATCAAAATAAAATCCTTATAATTACCAGCTACAAATTTCATAACTGCCGGTACCAATTTGTCAGGACGAAAAACACGCAACACTAATAATTTTTGGAACAAGCTCAATTTGTCACTCCAAGGTTTCGGTATGTTTTTATTATCGTGCGGCTCTTTTGAATCAAAAAATAATTTCCAATCAGCCAGGTCTTTTTGAATATGTTCGCGTATCCCTTTGAAATGATGAAAATCTGATAAACGGCAAATTTCGTCCCAATTGTTAACACCTAACCATTTTGCTGGATTTGGATAAGGATTACCAAGACCTATTCCACCCGTCAGTAGAAACATCCATTCGGCATTATCGATTTTTCCCTCCACCTTGAGTATGTTAATCGCCAATATTAATGAGAACAAAAGCTTATCCTGCCAATAAAAAAATTTAACTATGAGTGATGCTTTTTACATTCATAACAAATATTGCTTACATAAATACATAACACATAACTGGGTAAAAATATAAACCTCTATATACTTTATATGTATTTACAAGATAAAAGTAAATAAAAATCTGTCTGCCAATTACATGCAGAAACATAATTTGATGCTCTCAAAAGATGTTGTTTTTAATTTGTTATAATTACAGATTTCTTTATTTATGTCAAGAAGGAATACGCAGTAAAATATATTTTTTATGATGTATTCATTTTGGGTACCAAAGCATGTTAATTAGACGCTTCTCAGAACAACGCCTGCACGGCAATGACAACAACAAAGGACACACAAATTAAATAAGGATAATTTGGCAGAGTTGTCAAAAAGAAAATGACAAGGAAAAAGAAAAATCGTAAAAGGCTCCAAGTTCAGTAAATAATTTTTCCTCTATGGATTCCATTTATGAATTTTTCTTTTTATGTGTTAACGAGAATTTAAGGACGCATTCATGTGATAAATTAATGCACAAAAAGGCAATACAAACGAGATAACTAGGAAAAGTTGAAAATTGAAAATGAAGAGGAAATACACCAAAATTGAAAGATATATTTTCATACGAAAAATCAAGTAATTTTTCCATTAAAAATAAAAAGCTTCCCATAAATATTCAGAACACATGTAGGTATATCGGAAATGTTTCCCAATCAAAACGGAATTAAATACAATAACTTTTGGGGTTACGATGATGAGATGGTATTCATATAGAAAAACGGAAGATCTAATTTTAAAAATTTAAATTTTAAGATAAGGTTATTCTAACCATTTTATTAGTAGAATTACAGCAGAAGGAAGAAAGTTCACACGTCTCCGCAAAGAAACGCCACTGGAACTTTAATCCGTGACCGACTTCAACAGACAGATGTGCTACTGAACACAGTCCATTCAAGCCCACAAAAATTTTAAATATTTAATGAATTACTCTTAAATATTGTTCATTGTCTATTCTTAAATGACAAATCGCAATAAAAGAAAATAAATTACAAAACAAAAAGTATAAGCTTAAGTTAGGATGAGAGGGCATGTGTCAATATAAATAATAACACATTATGCGGAAAAATCTATTGCCATATGTGATGTTCTATAAGTTATCGGGAGAGATAAACTGCACATAAAATTGATTCTAATATATCTCTGTGAGCTATTTTTATTAAATTACTTGATGTTTTAGTAAAAAAATATAAGAGATCCTATAACTCTGTACCTTTGTTAGTAAAGTAGCGAAAAATTTAGTCAAGTTAGACATTTCTATTGTTCACAGTGTTTTAGCAAAAAAATAAAATATTCTTTTTATTCAGTGCAATAGCTAAGCTAAAGCGCGATTTGGCCATTTCAACTATGATAACACGTCCCTCCTCTTCAGAAAAACATATCTCAAGCTACTGACAGGTTATCTGATAGATTATCATAGCCTATGCTACGATTTCAACAAAATAGGTCTGCCTAAAAAGATGGAATGTCCTCTCTGCAACGAAGCATATAAAATCAGTGATCACATTTCCCGTCGATTCTTATTTGAACTTGAGGGATAGTACTGACACAGGAGCTTCTGTCCCTATCTTACGATAGAAAATTCCAAACAAGTAATATTCTGCCCTTCATCTAAAATGCTGAGGTGCTACTATTTGATGACGGGCGAACACAATGCCTTACTCCAATGAAAGCACAAAAATCTATTTCATTATAATTAAAATATAAGTACTGAAGATAACAGTATGTACATGAACTTGGCTCTACTTTTGACGGTATTTGCAACCATAAAAAGATTCGTTCAAAGACAAAAATAGTTGTTCTGGCAAAAAACATTGATGCTGTACATAAACTGATAATGCAAAATCGGCATTAGAGATTAAAACAGATTGTGACATCAGTATTTTGTACGTGCTATATTCATTTTGGACCTATATGACGAAATGGATTAATTTATCTATATACGTCCAAATTTTCTTAGTCTTTTTTTGTGTGATGTTGACTAACAAATTTAAATGGATGATACCTTTAAAACTATTTATAAATCCAACCAACTACAATTTGGATTTGAATGATATTAGTTGGCAGTACTGATATAGATTTAATGTTAATATATAAAAAACATAGTTTTCGAAAAATAGTGATATACAACAACGAAAATTCTTTTTATATTATTTTCAATTAATTTGATTTTTTCTGAATTTAATATAAAAAAAATTTGTGTTGTTATATTTCGCTACTTTTCGAAACATCTCTATTAAATACATAAGTGTTTATTAAGTAAAATGGTCACTAAAAATATAAACTCAACTATATACACAGCTGCTTCTACAGAAAAAGTCTTCTTTTAGAATGAAACTGTGCAGTCTACCCAGTTGTAATTATGTAGGCAGAAAAAAAAAACAACTGAAGAGCTCAATACTAAATTGTGGTTCTCTCTAGTGGTAATATATTTAAGTAAAGGCTCAGTGAAGGCCCATCCACACCTGTATATTTGTTAGGTACGAAGGACTAACTGATCTTCAAAACTCAGAATATAGAATACAATTGAAAAAACAGCAAAGTCCTGGATCTCGAAGAATAAAACATTGCGACCATGAGTGTCCAAAATATAAAAGTTACTTACTATCACTTGCAGTTATATACTATATAGGTACTACAATTTGTAGAGAGGCGAAGAATGATATTAACAAAAGATCTGAATAAAAAGTTTTTTAATGGGTATTGCGAATGCCTATTTTGGTAACAGTTCTTTTCCTTTTACATTACGAGTATTTGAAGCTGTTATTCTGATACACTATTCTTTCCCCTTGATCTGTTTCTCAACAGACCTTAAGGAAAAAGCTTTAGGTCTGCTTAGTGCCATGTCGTAAAAATCTTTGATTTCTATACTTTTCGTATTTTATTTTCTTCTATTCAAATTTTTTTCTTAATCTTTTTAGTTTTCCAGTTCCTATAATTTATTGACACTTTTTTTACATTTTTTTAATACAAGTATTTTTATATTTTTTCCAAAAAATACTCGTACCATGGAAGTCAGCTACTTGCGTCCTAACATAAGAGTACCAGCGCAATTCAACAAAGTTCTTACATGGTGATTGCATAAATATAGTGCCAAAGAAATTTGAACGTATCGCAAACCATGTTAAGATGTCACCACAGAATAATGGATTAGAACGGAAAAAGCTTACTAAATTATATGCTCTGCTGCTGTTAAAAAGCAGAAAATTAATGAGACGTGTGAGAGCACAACACAAAGATAAAAAGCGAAATCGCAAAGAATAAATAAAAGTATCGAGAAGATTTATGGGATTAGGATTGTGAGTAGATAGATGTATGCAATGAAGTGAAAAAAAAATATATTTTGCATATTTCTAATTTAAATTTTTAATGGTAAAATGATATGTATAATGTATAAATAAAACATAAATAAATTTACATGAAATATTCACATTTCATGGAAGATAAAAATATTTTTTAAACTTAAGCAATTACGAAAAATATTTAAAGTCATAATACTAATAAGGTTTTATTAATTTTTTCCATAAATACCAATAAAAAGTATTTAGGTCAGATTAGGTTATGCCGGAAAAACTCGGTGTTTAAAACCACCTAGAACCATTAGCGAAACTTAAAATGCTATATAGTATCCGGTCTTGCAATTGATCAAGATTCTCAAAAAAGGGGTCTCCTAAAGTGTTGAGTCGCCGCCGTGCATGAACTAGGCAAAACGTAATATATGAGAGGCACTCTCATCGTCTTCTTCACAGCTGCGACAGATTTGATTGAAAGGAAGACTCAATCTTCTAGCATGGTTCTCTAGTTTACAGTGACCTGTAAGTAAACCTACCAAAAGACCGATAGCTCTACGGGGTATCTCAATGAGAATTTTTGATTTGATTGCATACATATGCCTACATATCGTTGAGTCTTCCCATATATATTAAAAATTTTAGAACAGAAAGAACTCAGAACAGTTTGCATGCAAAAAGTATTTATGGTCACTCAAATTTATAGAAGTGCTATGACTACATATGGTAAATTATGTCCACCGAATACTAATATTCACAAAAAAATTTAGGAAAATACTAAACGATCAAGCAACCTAAGTCATGTTAAGTTTTTGATGTGATGTCAGGTTTAACAAAAACTATGATCTACTATAAATGATTATGACATTCGACAGATAAATATGAAGATGTATGGTTGTGAAAGCTGGAACTTTATCATGCTATAAAGGTAGATAATGGTAATGAAGTAAGAGCTCGACAGATAGACAGAGAGATGTATTGTCGAGGAAGCTTGGACTCTTATCATACTCTAATATTAAATAATGATAATGAAGCCAAAACTCGTAATATGGTCACGATCTTTAGGCTTTAAAATACAGTAAGAATGCTTATTATAAAAAATACAATTTAGTAATATATAATGTATTGTAACATTTAATTATATATGAGAAAAAGAGTCATCAATCTCTATAGAAGAAAATGTCAGATAAAAGTACTGTCTTTCTATAGATTAATTTGAAACTATAGTATATTTTTTATTTAATTGACACTTTTTAATGCATAGGAATCTATATTATTAGTTCATTAATTTGAAACCAACCACAAAATGGAATACCGCAAAAGTGTACCTGGAGAAAGATTCTACAGCAGATCAAAATCGACTGTAAAACTATGGATGATAAAAGTGATTTTTACATGTATATATATATTTACATATATATATGTATAATAATAAAAAGAGATTTGATTTAACATATTTTATAAAAAAACGTAAAAATATATACCTTTTTTCTTACTTTACTTAATCAAAACTTAATATGGATCTCAACAACACGGCAATTTATTTTTTTCAGTAAATTTCACCTAATAATTCCTTCCAAAATTTAATTTATTTTTCAATTCCATAACCAATTAATTCAAGTATTTATCACAAATATCCTTTTAATGATTCTATTGGAAAGTCAAAAAAAAAAAACTCAAAATGCAATTAATATCATATCACATGGGAGTCCAACATCCAACATCGCGTAATTAAAATCGTTAATAAAATCGGTTCAGTAATCAAAGTTATCAATATTAACATTGTCAGTGGCACTACAATGACTGCGGGCACATTCTAAAGCACCAACGGTTTTTTAAGTCCAAAAATCAATATTTATATCATCTTCTTTTTATCTTTCAACTCTTTCTATCTGCAGTCTTTATTTTAGTTCGCTGTTGGTACTTTGGTCTTTGTCATTTTTGAATTATATTGCATTCAACCACAATGCATGAAATTTCAATCGTTTTCATTTAAATTGCATTACATTGTATGTGAGTACGTTCAGACTTTACAGTGGAAGTTGGCTATAAGAAAATACTTTCAATTTATAGAAATTAGTTGAATAATTTGGATCTAATCTTTCAATTATAAACTTCAATATTAAAGTATGAACTATAAAAAATATGAACTAATCAAAAATATATTCTTATTATTACTAAAGATTTATGAATTTATATTAATATATAAATTAAATTGATATATTATGTTTATATAGTTTTTTTTTATTTTTATTTATATAGCCCTTTTCTATTAAAAACTGCTAACAAAAATAGATGTTCAATCATCCCACCCTGATTGAAAAATTAAAAAAATTTCATAGACTAAATCCTTATTTTAAGTTTTCTTATTCAATCATTCAAACACAATAAACAAATACTACTCATACTCATAATATACTCATCAATATAAAGATATATAAGCAGTACAATTGAAATAGACCCTCAGAAACCCTATCACTTCCAAAAAAAAGAAAAAAAAATAGAGGTATCACAATTGAAATAGACTCTTAGTGACACAAGAATATCAAATTTACTATCTTAATATAAAGTAAGATCAGGTCTAATGAATCTTTCTTACTTCTTCAACGTAGTGATTTTTGCGGTAATACATATCAAGAGGCATTAGTTTCATGCATATTTAAACCTACTTCTCAAAATCACTCATTCACGACTACAGATAGTCGCTCATTTCACCTGTTTGAATAATTTATAAGGAATTTGTAGAATGTTAAGCTTACCCGCAACAACAACAACCTTAAATTTAAAATACATAAATAACAACATATACTACCAATAGCTTAAAATATATAATGCAAACAAGCAATTTATATATAGCATACAAATAAATATTAACAAACTTATATCTTAAAGTTTTATGTAATTAAATTTACAAAACTGTTTAGAGTTAATATTTTTATACTATCGCCTTTAGCTGGCACCCACTGTCATAGCCCATAAATATTGCATTTTTCATTATAGAAGTTCTGCATCTAACGTGGTCTTGTATGCAATATTTCATTGGAAAAACCGGATGCAGTTAAAATTGCTTTTATCATTTTTGAGAATCAATATTTAAATGTTTTTATTGAAATTTAATTCGTTGACGTCATCCAACGAATTTTAATAGAATTTATGTGTTGAGGAAAATCTATTAAACTTGAAATAAGTAACTTTACATGCTAAGGATATAAATCAAGTACCACAACACTGATTCATAGTAGAATAAGAGAAAATTATTAACAATACTTAAAAGTGACATTCAAAAATGAATTTATATCAACCATAATTGATATTTCAAATTAAATTTAATAAATAGATTTTACGAAAAACAGTGGAACTACAACAACAAAAACTCCTTTTCATATTATTTTAATTAATTGAATTTTTGACTGACCATACAGTTGTTTTGAGTATTGCCAAATACCCATCATCGGTGGGTATGACAAATTTGACAAATTTGAAGCTCAGAGTCAGCGTTCATTAGCCAACTAATCAAAAGCCGTTTTTTTATGTTTATTAAATTTGATAAAATCAGAAATATATTTATGTCTTCAGGGGAACAATAAATTTATTTAGGGGATAGAAGAGAATAGATTAAGGTTAAAATGTACTATGAAGATCAGTCTATAAAGTATACAAAAAGTATTGTATAGATTTAATAATACTGTTATGATAATAGTATAATAGTGTTATTAATATATATAATTAATTATTTATTTATTATTATATATAAGTAATTATTTATTGCAAAAACTAATAAGACAAATAAAAGAGAATCATAAATCTTTGTAAAGGATAATATAATTATTTGATTTACAAAAAAAAAAAAATGAGTGTGTTAGTTAAGACATATATAACTAGATGTGTAACCAATACATAAAAACGATTCAACTTGATAAGCAGAATTCGATTGATACAGCAATTTCAGTATTTTAGTACATTTTTGGTCATATCTGATATAATAAAGAAATCTATACAATAAAAGCATAGCAAAATATTGAAAAGTAAAACTCTGAAAAGTCGGAAAAGTCGGAAAAGAATACAATAATAAATGAAGCACTCCTACGAAGTTAATTATGTTTTAAGGTTAATTTTGGACTGACTATGCAATTTTGGACTGACTATACAGCTATTTCACATACTACCAAAACTATTCGAATACTATATATATACAAGAGATTAATTATTAATTATTTTAATTAGTTTCAACATTTATTTGATTAATTAAATTAATTTTTAGTTAATTTATAATTAAACGTAAAATAGTAAAATTTATTTTACAGTAAATTTAAAAGTATCTAATACAATATCTTACAAGACATCATTAGATGTATTGTGGAACTAGAAATAGTGAAATATCTGTTGTACAATTCTTCAACTCATTCTTCAACTCAGCTCATTTCATTCATTATGGAGCCCAATTATGGGGTATTGCAGCAGACTTAAACCTGGCAATTATTTAGCGTTTTCAATCTAAAACACTACAAATGGTCACAAATGCACCTTGGCATATAACGAATGATCAGCCGCATAAACAACTACGTGTTCCGACAATCAAGGAAGAAATATCTCGTATTATAAACAATTACGCTCATCGCATATATATGCACCCAAACCTGCTGGTTACACACCTAATGTCCTAATGTCCAACACTCTTACAAGGATGAGAAGAAAAACATCGAGAGACGTTTTAGTAATGTAGGTATATGTTGGTCACACACTTCTATTTTAAGTATAGATGGATATGTCACTGGATATAGTACATACGCGCCTTACTTTTTCAAATCGTAATAACTATTATTACGATTCATATTAATATATATTATTTATTGTCATTCATATCTGACAGATTGTAATAAAATAAATGGATTTAAAAGACAAAAAAAAATTCTACCAAAATTTGTGAGGAATATGGAATCAAGACGTTCTACTTAATTAAGACGGCTTCATTTTTCCACTTCACTACTACCAACTACTGTATATATATATAATGAAACTGCATCTCATATAACTTTAAAATTTACTGAATTTTACTCAAAGTTTTTTTACATCAAAATTTTTTGGAAAAATTGTTAATGCAATGAAGTTGTTATTTTCCATTTAAGGTTTCGCAAGCAATAAATAACATTTATCTGGTAGTAAATAAATTAAAGCCAATTTATAGATACAAGTAAATACATGTAGGACATATGTGTATTTGCAAAAATTTATATATTTATATCCTCGGGATACGAAACCACTACGATATAAGACTTAGTATGTAGTACTCACCCGCACAAATAAACTACGACAAATGTTCACGTACAGACTGTAAGTAAAATGATTCCGCAAATCCTCTAAACGTTCTTTTATATCGTCCACTTTTTCGGTGTTATCAATTGAGGCAATATATAACGCAACAAACCAATTCAGACTGTATTGGTACATGGGATCAATATTTGCCAATTCGACTATTAAAACATGTAAAATATTAGAGTAAATGTAATTTAATATGAAAACCAAACTAAAAGGTTCATAAAAAATATTTAAAAAATAAAAAAATTTATATAAAAATTTTAAAATGATAGACCTGTACTTTATATCATATATCTGCCTCACCTATAGTGAAGAACAAAATCGAAGAATGCTCAGCGATTGGTACATAGCTCAGACGTGCTTTATCGATTTGTTTTTCTGTAGCTTCGGTAATTATTTGTTTTTCACTAATCTCATTGGCCAATATTTTCGATGAACTTAAAATGTGTACAGCTTTTTCATCTTCCAATATATTATCAGCTGATGACAGTACCTCCAATATTTGATCTTCAGTTTCCTTTAATAAACGCTTATTTTCAGCACTCTGTACAATTAAAGTGCTCTTCTCCGCTTCTAAATCTGGGCGCTCTCTAGCTACAGTTATACCCAGTAACTGATCATTTAAGCCCTGCTCTGTTATCATAAAGTTGAGTAGTGTTACTTTCACCGCCACTTCAGGCAAATAATGCGGATTACGCAGCTTTGTAGATATATAAAATCTAAAATGAAAATATATAATATATCATGTTAGTTAAATATAAAAATGATGTATTTAATTTGTCTTCCACGTACTTAAAGCTACTGTGATATTCAATAATTGAGTCACCAAGTTTAATGCAAAGCGCTCCACCTTGTTTAAATAATTGTTTCAGCAATATTGATTCAAGCAATGGATCGAGTTCCTCTCCAACATTTTCAAGTAATACTGGTAACCCAAATTGTATAGCATTTTCTAGTATGCGTGTGTAATCCGGTTGATTCAAACGTATAATGAATAGCTTATTGGCTTTTTCTAAATTTTTAATCCATTTGTTCGCCTGTCCTTGTGGATCAATCATTAAAGGCCAACGTCTAGAATTTCTGAAAGGATTGCATAATGAAGCATTGAAGTTTCATAATATTAAATAAATAAATAAACATCATAAATATTTAACTTGGTTAAATAAATATCATAAATAAACTTTAGTATTAAAAATATAAAATATAATTAAAATGGTAAACATTATAATATTTATATTTAAACAATAATATTAATATTAAATATAATAATATTATGAGTAAATTTTTTATTAAAAATAAAAAAACATTAAAATATTTAAAATAATTTTGATAAAAATATTTTTTTAAATTTATTTTTTGACCTGTTTATTAAATTGGTTTTTTTATATATTTTTATTCTGGCAGTTGGTCCCATCTTGTTAAATAATAAGACTTTAATATTTTTTATTAAACTCTATATTTCAACTCTCCTTAAATCTCCAACTGGTACCCGTACTTATACCGCGAATCCACCTGCTTCGGCAGCATGCACAACGGATTTGGAAGAGCAAAACTCACGTTTAGACAGAATCTCTCTGTTAGGTACAACTGTAGCCACTTATTTCCCTGCGGAGAGGGGAAAAGAATACTCCCGCGGTTAGGATTGCCTGTCGTAAGAGGCGACTAAAATCCCCCAGTGCCAGTCTGACACTTATGTAGGAAGTGTAAACGCTAGTAAGTTGAGTCGGCAACTTGCGACATCTGACCAAAGATGATCCAATCCAAGCTCTACGGGGGTCAGTGGCCCGCAGCTTCAGCTGTACTGAACATTGGTGTTGGCCTCGTAGTGGTTGTGGTTAAAACCCAAACGTACGCGGGAAGAATGATTTGAGAATTATCATTCATTCGCCGTGGAGTGCGTTTCATACCGGATGCTACAGCCCAAATTGTAGCAGAGATTTTAGGTAGGCCTCGCATCTTACCAAGGTGGAAGTTATGACTTACATGAATTTCGTCATTGGTACCGGCGTAATAAGGTAGGCTATTCCAATGGGGCGTTGATTGACGCTTATATTAATACGTGTGTTAAGAGCACCGTGATGTTGTGCCATCAAGGCAGGGAATCACGTAAAACAATTTGAGACTTCTGTAGCCACTTATCCTCATCTTATGACCCAATGTTCCCCTGGGAACGTGATGGAATGAAGATATATATAATAAATATTATATATAAATACGATAATTACCGATTATGAATATTAAAATTATTATATATAAAATATTTGAAAAATATTATTAATACTAAAATTATTTAAAGTTTATAAGTATCAAAAACACCATTTATGTTATTAATATTATAACTTAATAAACTAATAAAATTTGATATTTATATATAGCAAATTTAATGTCTGTATAAATATTTATATATAATTATATAAAAAAAATTATATAAAAAAAGCAGTTATAGTGAGGAAATTTTCTAATCCAAAAATATGATATTTAATGAAATAAATTCTTGGGCTGACTATTTGGGTTTTTGCGGATACTGTCCAATATGTGTATTATCAATGGTGTTTGGAAACATTTATTGATTTAATTGTCCATACATAATCTTTGCACTCGAATACACCAAACAAACATGAACACATACTAACTATGTAATTGAGCTAGCAACTTAAGATATTAATGATAGTAACAAATATAGTAGCATATGTAGTATGCTGGTTATTTGTCTGAAAGACTTTATTTCCCACTACTCCATTTCACATAGTTTTAAAGTGAAAAGAGATTCCGTGCCAAAAATAAAAAAAATATTTCAACAAGATTTTATATTCCTTTTCATCTCTGGCATCCTTTCGTTTTCAAGTTACATGGCGTGATATTGCCTTACAGTTTTACGATATCAAGCCGTCATGTCTATTTGAAAATATACGAGTATCTATGTATCTGTCTTTCTATCTTTCTGTCTGCCTGTGCGTCCGTCTATTTGTTGGTTTTTACATATGCTACACTTAATACTTAAACTGCCAGCAATAACAGCAGCAATTTTACTTAATTTAAATGTGTTTCAGCAATTATATTCGCTTACTGTAAACACTTCCCTTGCAAAGAGCGTTTCCAATTCTTTATTTCTACTTTTGTATCTTTTAATTACAAAAACCTAAAATACAAGAATTTACGCATATTAAGATTATTCAGAATGGTCTCATGACTTGTACGTGAGTCCGAAGAAAGTTTTAATCGTAGACGCACCATGAATGAACATTTTATGGGGTGGCTGGATTAAAAGTGTAATCGTACACTGAGTGACATATATATATGTACATACAGAGTAAGGCGTTGCTTGAGGCTTGAGTTAGTTATTCTCAATATATACACATTATAACACATATATACACAAGAAATATAAACTCATGCTCATATAAATATACAACTGTATACAGAACACGCATCTGGCATGTTTTACTGAATTTTGGTGGAAACTGACTTGATGGTGATGGCTTGAAAATTTCCACAAACAAACCGATTATTTATTAAAGAAACGCAATAAAATACAGGCAAATGAAAACAATGTTAAACTTTAAACGATATTTTTACGATATTTTTAGTTCGGTCATCATTGGCTTGAATCAATTTAATTCAATAAAATAATAGATCATTTTGATCAAAAATAGCTGAAGCTCTCCAAACACTCAATCCCAGAATTGAGGAAAAGAAACACGATGCAGGCGTCTCTATAGTTAGGTTTTGCTGTAGTGGATAATATTGATTGATACCCTTAATATAATCATTATGAGCTAATACAGGTAAGCCGAACTATTGATTAGATTATTAACGATTCAGCCGCAATGAAAATAAATAAATATGTCAAAATTGATCAAGAAAAAAGTTATGTTATTTAACTGGACAAAAATTTAATATAAAGTTCTAATATTACATCAAAAAATTATCATTATGTCAGACCCTTGCAATTTTCTTTAGCTAGCATAAAGAGAATTTTCAAAGACACCTATATCAATATTTCAAAGCTAAAGCACTAAAATTAATTAATTAATATTAATTAACAATTAAGAAATAATTGTTCTCATTAAATAATGGCAGAAAGTAATGAATTATTTAAATTATTACTTAATAATTGATTGCTTTTGTTGTTTAACAATTACTCCACCAAACGTTTCAGTGCAGAAATCGATCGGAATCGGAAATATTTTTAAAACTCAGGAGCTCAACTGTTAAAGCTCATCTACGCTCCCTATGCGAACTCGTTAGACCCAAGATGCACACTATGCAATATTGGAGAAAAGGAAGATTTAATACAACCCTTAGTAAATGTCCAATTTCAATGGAGTTACATGTACATGTGTAGTTATATATTATTATTAAAGATAAGAATACAACAAAAATATTTGAATTGGCCATATATTATATTGCAATGCCATAAAATTTTACTGGTTTAAAACATTACTTCAGTATTGATTTAAGAATTAAAGGCTTCATTAGTGGCGAGATGTCACGAACTTCTCATCGGATTCACTGACTTAGAGCTAAACATCCAATCATCAGCATTGATATAGATATACAGAATGTATTGATATACAGAAACCGCCACTTTAAAATACTTCAGAAGTATGAAGGACATGATATAAAACTTCTTTTGATTCGTTTCTTCTGGGGAAAAAAAATAATAGCTTAATGAATTATTAATAAAAACTTTTATTTCTTTTTTAAAAACCAAATATTAGCTCAAATTTTGTTTATTGTTATTTTATAAGAAAACTATATTATTATCTGTTCATATAGACAATATGGCAACTATAGTAATTTTTATTTCGCAAATTATTAAATATAATTTTATTTGAACCAACACCTAAATAACTTAAAAATCGCCTCCGATGGAATTGACAGATTCTACAAATGCTGGGGTCCCTTACTCTAATTCACAAACGAAGGAAAGTCTTAAATTGATACACTACATTCGATGATGAACTAAAACTTTGAACAGTAGAACAAATACATACTACTAATTATTGAACATGTAGAACTTAATGAGTGACTCCTATTCCGAGTTGGAGACACAACAAATCTTAAGATCATGATGCTATATACCGTATTCATAATAATATTAATATAAAACATGAGTGTTCTCTGCTCTGTTCTCTTTTTCATGTATTTAACGAATATAGCCCATTTAACAAATGTAGCAACCAAAAACAAAAAGAATAGTAAAAAGAAATTGATTAATCTTCCGTGCTAGATTAAAGTAATTTCATCACAAGAACGCATATGTAAGCGATTATGGAGTAACCCACGTTCAAACACACGTCCACTATGCAGCACACATTTGTTTGAATAGGAAAAATTTCATTAAAAAGAGGATTTGAAGAAAAATTCCTCATTTTTCATGGTTGGTATGGACATAAATAAAATTTTACATGGAATTCCTATAAGTAAGTAGGCGTAAAAAGTTTTCAATATAAGAATTTTAAAAATAACATAAAAATATGAAATTGAATAGAAGTAAAGATAACCCGCATAAGCATTCTTATTTTAATACTATATGTTAATAGATTAATAATAAGATAATAATATTTAAATATATATATATATAAATATTTAAATATATATATAAATATATATCCTTAAAATGGATAAATATAATATTTAGATTTATTTTAATTGAAATATTGTATATCTATGCTTTTAAGATCTCTCAATAATGTAAAAGGAATATCCTATATAAAAGTCGATCACAAAGTCATGTATGAACAATCAACTAAAATTTATCTAGAAATCACACATATATAAAAAATAAATCACATTAAATGGGTATCAAACTTTTTAAAATATAAACGGATTTAAATTCAGATATCTTTAACCAGAAACCTTTAACTTTCATGTTCATTTCTCAATGTCACTCTTATTTTCGGCAAAAATTCTGTTAAAACTCAAACGATCATTGTTAAAGTTTTTCAGCCCCCAACTTAAATGGGATCTATTCATATCATACCTACACCACCGTCTGTTACTTATATGAATTCCATGTAAATTATTATATATGTTCAGACCAACCATGAAAAAAGAGGTTGGTGAGAAAAATGATGATTTTAAATTAAGAAATATATATTATAATAAATTTTAGTATATTATATTGTACGGTCTTATAACAACAGATACATTTAACAAGTGGCCATGGCCATATTATCCACTATACATAACATAAATAGTCTAGTAAATAATATCTAAATTATATATACCTAAAATGGAACCCACCTTAAATTTACTTCAAAAATAACCATTGTTACTAATCCTAATTAGCATGAATGAGAAAACTTAAGAATGAAGAAAAGAGAGATGAGAAGTTAAGAAAACAAATAAATCTCTAAATATGTAGCAGTATAAATAATACAGTTGAAGAAATAGATATAGGTATACATTAAGACCGAAAAGTTTTCGGAAATTCTCATTTAAAATTCGCGCGCTGTATATTTTTCGATATTTTAAGTTTATGTAGTTTGGCAGCAATTAAGGAAAATTACTATGCAAAAAATGAGCGCGATCTGTCAGACAGTTCGTTTACGGCAGCTGTTGAAACCAGTTCACCTCAGTAGTGGCGTTGCGAAAAAAACAATGGAAAAAAATATTGAACAAAGAGTTTGCATCAAATTTTGTGTTTCGAACGAAATTTCGTGTGCAGAATCGTTGCGAATGCTACAAAAGGCTTATGGGGAATCAGTTTTATCGAAAACTCAAGTTTATGAGTGGTACAAAGCCTTTCAGGACGGTCGTACGACCGTCGAAGACATTTCGCAACGCACTACTGAGGTGAACTGGTTTCAACAGCTGCCGTAAACGAACTGTCTGACAGATCGCGCTCATTTTTGGCATAGTAATTAAGGACAGTGCTGACAAACTACATAAACTTAAAATATCGAAAAATATACAGCGCGCGAATTTTAAATGAGAATTTCCGAAAACTTTTCAGTCTTAATGTATATATTTTAAATGGTGTAGTTTAAAGGGGTGTTATTATGTTTATTTTATTATGATTTTAATAATTGATCTATATACTATATAATATTGAATTGTTGAAATTATTTTGTCTTATATAATTTTTTCCAGATTATCTAAAAAAAAAAATTAATTCTTTATCACTTAACAAAAAGATTTGTTTAAAATTTAAAATAATGCTATATATAATACATTATTCATAACATTAAATATAATATTTAGTATATAATATACAACTTATAATATAATAAGTATACAAGTTATTTAATATATATAATATATATAATATATATACCTATATATGGATACGTATGTATAATAAAAAATATTTATTAGTTTACTTAGTTTAATTATTATTTAATAAATTTGTTTAATATTTTATATCCGGCTACAGATCATTTTTTTTTTAAATTAAAATTAAATGTAAAAAAAAACATTATTAAAAAAGGTCGAGAAATAAATTTAAAATTTAATTATTTAATATACCTAATATATATATATACATGTATATATATACATATATAGTACAATTCTTTCAAAAGTATCTTATATACAAAACATACACTCAATGTTGATTTTTTTTACTTACTTCAAAATAATGGCACTTTCTATTGAAAATGCATCTGTTGGTAAGCCACATATATTCCATTCCCGAATTTCTACAGGTTGTCCAAGTATCTGTGCCAGTTCAAAATCATTACTACAAACGATACCAAAGGATTTACACCTAGCAACCCATATATTAATTTGTTTAAGACGAAAATCAGTAGTAAACGGTCCCAAATAGGCAACGACGCCGGATGATATGAGTATATCTCCAACTAAAGTATTATAAGAGAGCCCCAGCGTTTTCGCAGTTTCAGACCAACGTTTTCGTTCACCACCCAAACCTAAAATAAGATCTTGTGCACGTTGTAAACGTTTCGTACAAGCCTCGTGATCAGCTGCCAAAGCACTAATGAAAAAGCGAAATTCATTCAATTTATAATATTTAAAATATTTAAAATATTTATAAAATTCAATTAATATTGTGTTTTCTATTACAACAATTTAATTATGTTTTCTAAATATATGTAGTGAATTTTATGTATACTTGTATTGCGATTGAGTTTCTTCCAATTGTTTCTTAATAGCTGCAAGATCAGCCTCCACCTTTGCTAGTTGTGCTAATTTCTCGCTTAAATGTTTCATGGCAGCCTAAATTATATATAGAGTTTAAAAACAAAGTTATTATTACAGAAATTAATAGTCATATATAGATTAACACTAAAATGTTTAAAATATTTATTTAGTTTAGGGATTTAGTTACTTTCAGACATGATATATATATATTATAGCCAACCAATTTCATTCCTTTTTCGATTGAATTCATAAACCATTATACTTAGTTTTGCCCTACTATTTAAAAGAGTGGAAGTCTAATTCGATTGCTAATCTGAAATAAACGAATAAACAGATAAACAGAAGAACAACTAGACAATCAGATAGACAAACGAGATAACAAACAGACACACAGTCAGATAGAGAGTCATAGAGACGGTCAGAAAGATGAACAAGAAAACAATAAGCAAAAGAACAAAGAAAGAAACATATAGAGAGACAGGTAGACAGAGAGACGTGGTGGTAGATAGATAGATAGACAGAACAATAAACATAGACAAACAATAAACAAACAAAGAGGCATATGTAGAGACAGACAAATAGAGAAATAGACAGACATGGTGACAGATAGATTGACAGGCACTTATAGATACATATACAGACAGATAGACATGGTGGTAGATAGATAGATAGATAGACACATAGATAGATAGACAAACAATAAACAAACCAACAAGCAAAGAGGCATATGTAGACACAATAAGCAAAAGACAAATAGAGAAATAGACAAACACAGTGACAGATAGATTGACAGACACATAGGCAGACAAACAAACAGATAAATAAACAAACAAAAAAAACAGATAAATAGACGAATAAACACATCAACAGATTGACAGATAAATATGTTGATAGAATTATACAGAAGGACATCTTTAAAAAATCTGTGGTTTATATACTCTTTGCATTTTCCTTCATATTGAATTTTGACGAAATTAGAAGAGTTTATAAATATTCTTGAAAAGTTTATGAAAACTAAGTAAGCCTCTTTACTATGCGTTCCTTTAACTCCTACGTGGAGCATAGAGCCGCCTTCAAACTTATTTCATTATATATTATTATAATACAGAATAAATTATTATTAATTACTTAATAGCGTATATTCACTTGCATTAACTTACATTGTACTCTGCTTCGGCTGCAGCCAAAGCAATTTTCTTAGGTGCAACAACTTTTGCCACTACATCATATTTGGTTAACGCTATCACCCAACGACATAAGCCTTCACAAGCTGTTGATGCTGTTTTAACTTTATCAGGATCAAAAGCTTCTTGAGTCAAAACACGTTGCTGTAATTTTTGCATAACTTGTGGTGATATATTATCCTTATCAAAATTAATTAAACTATCCAGAAATTTCAAATCGCTAAGCACACGTTTTGATGCGCCCCAATAATCTTCAACCATGCCTGTTCCTGATGGATTTTGTATACGTTCAGGTTTGACTTCTTTCAATATACACACAGCTTCCATAACAATACGTACTCCAACTGGTGGACTTTTCATGGTCTTAACAACAGCAATATCAGCAGTTGTCAATGTATTTAACGCTGCCAAAGCAGCGTTTAGAATTGGTAAAGCCTCCGATAATTTAGCATCGCACTCATCTTTAATTTCTTGGGCTTTGGAAGCTTGCACTTTGGCAGCTTTCTCATCTTCCTTAACAAGTGCTCTTTGCTCTTCAGCCTTAATGCTGTCCGCAGTGACGATTGCAACTTGTACAGCAACCTATAAGAGAGAAAGAAACAGGAAGGTATAGAAAGTGAGAGTTCAGTTAATAGCATAAAAGTATAAAAGAAAATTACCTTTTCCGCAGCTACTTTAAGTTTTGGCTCCAGAGCCACTAACTGCTCTTGCATCACAGCGACTTGTTGCGCTGCAATATCCAATTGTGATATACCAGTAAGGTAACGATTTTTCATTGTCATTATGGAACTTGAAAAATATGATATATAATGAAGTTATAGCTTACTTTACTAGTTTTCAATCACTTACGTTCTCTTCTCATCCAACAGAGCTTTAAAAGTTTGTATCAATTCGAGATAAGATGTGGGTGTTACATAATTATGACGTTTTAATCTAGCAAAGAATGCTTCAGACAAATTCTGCGTTGATGTGTGAAATTCCATGCACATATCTATAGCTGCCTTGCGCTCCAGCTCTGTTAATTGCACTTGTGCTAAGAAACGCGTAGACACAGCCAATAGAGCATCTTCCGGCCACGTCTGAAACCAATCTATGGTACAACAATTCACAATCGAAGGGAATTTTCTAATACGCACACGCAGCGCATCGCCAATAGGCGACATACACAATACAATATGCAATTGATCTTTGCAAGTCTATAAAGGATTTTTATTATATGTATATGATAAAAATAATATAATCTAAAAATATATAATAAAATTTTTAATAAATCGAGATTAATATTTCAAAAGTAGAATCAATAACCCTCTAACATTTAACAGATTGTATTCGATTCAATGCTATTCAATTTTGTAATTCGTTTCCTTTCTGAGGGTCTAGGACAGTAAAGCTTAAAGTTCAAAAATAAAGGATTTCAGTTATAAATGTTAGTGGTACACAGCAAACTTAACAAGTTTATCTTAATTGAATTGAGTTTAGACTTTCTTCTTTAAATCAAAATATATTATTTTAAAAGTGTGGGTTTTACCATCTATTTTACTAAATTATTAAACTCAAATGAAGCAATTATACATTCTAATCTCAAGAACTTTTCCGTATTGGAAGCGCTCCTAAACAGATATCTGTTTTACCTGAAGAAAGATATTAGTCCCTAATTTTCACATAAACTGTACACTTTTCAAGAGCAGTTTTTCAACAGAATATAATTCCTTATAGATGTTCACATAAAAGATATTCTACTGTATTCTTATTATAAAAATTTCTAGTTTGTACGTACCGTAACGAAAAAATTGAATAGCGCCACTGGGGTACCATCCGTTTGCATCGCTTTATCGCGCTGCTTGTCTATTTGTGCCATTTTTTCCACAACTTCTATCCTTTCTTCATTTGTGAAGAGATTAGGCACCTCACCAGAATTCAATAAATTATTAATATCTTCCAAAAATGATTCGTCTTTAATCTAAATTTGAAATTATATTAGTTAAATATGTAGTTTGATGTTTTTATGCTCATTAAAAGGAAAGAAAGTTTTAAATCAATAATTTAAAATATCTAAATTCGATAGATTATTTATATATATTTCAAAGCAAACCTCCCTTCTGATTCAACTCTCTCAACTTCTAATCAATGATATATATTAGCCTATAAACTTTTTAAATCTAATTAATGGATTTCATTCATTATCATTAATGAAAAAACAAACTCATTTTGGATCACCCTACATATTTAGTATTATGTTCTTTTAAAACAAATTAACTAATAGTTTATTTCGGCACTCCAATTATATCCTGTAGATCAATCAAATAATTGAAACGAGTAAAGTCTTAAATAAGTGTGGAACCCTACAATTAAAAATATAATGATATCTATATATTATATAAATACTTTCAAAATGAAATGAAATAGAAAAATATATTATTTATAGTAAATTTTAAAGTTGCACTGCTTTTCGGTACTACTACAGAATACCAGATGCCGCACCTATTTAACACCCTAGATTTATATCTTACTTAATATAGAATTTCAAAATGTAAAAACAACCAATATTCACTTTTCCATACGAAAATGAACCAAAAAGTTGTTGACTTTGATATCAGAATAGCACACATTCCCACCTGTACATCGGTAAACAAGAATACCCCGTGCATGTCCGATGAGCTAATTTTACGCAATATAACTTTAATATCATCATGCCATTCAGTTGGTCCATATTGTCGAGTGATTTCAACTTGAAATATTTCATAGTCACATATATGCGAAGCCAAACGAGTTAAGCTCTGACGTCCGGAGCCACCAACTCCAATGAGTAGAGCATGACTACGAGGCTGCTTTATTATGCGACAAATTCTCGACAAATGCTCGATGGCAAAACGAAACAATACCAAATTCATTGGCTTTTTGGACATATTATTATATTCAACCAGATAAGTTTCTACAACCGAACGTAAATCTTCAAGGTCATGCACTTCAATGTAGTTCTTATTATCAGCCTTCGGATTCGAAAAGTCACAATAGATTAAATTACGAAAATTTGCCTCTGATAATTTCTCATTCTTTTTTAATAATCTTGAAAATAGTGCTTCCGGTTCAGAATTAAGATGTTTATTTATTTTATCACAAATTGAAGCGAAGAGCCAAGCGCGATCAGAGTCCTCAACCAAACGATCACCGTACACACGCAAAACCTCGTGTACCCACAAACGTCTCATTGAATCCAGATCCTCTGTCGCTTCCGGCACAGATAGCAACACACCTTGTATGACACGTGAGAAATCACGTAAATTGAAGAGATAATGCGATTTTGCTGGAGTAGGCAATAAATTTCTCTTAGCTTCATTGTATACGAAAAGTGTAGCATTGACAATTTCATCAATGCAAGGGTCGAAATCCTTTGAGAAACCACTGTAGTAAATAAACAATTTAATATAATTTTTCTATACTAGTATTCTGTACTAGAATAAATGTACTACCTACCGCGTATCAAGGTGCCACAAAACAATTTTGGTGAATATTGTCTTTAAAATGGCAGTATCGAATTCGTCAATAGCTATCACATGAAAGAACCGTTGAAAACGCGGTGTGACAGTGTTGCCAGTTGCTGGTGGTCCCATAGCCGTCAGCATTTGCAAATCGATAAGCTTCAGAGGTTGTGTTGTTTTGAGATCATACCACATCATATGATCTAATAACATTCTCAATAACTCAATGGGAGGTTGTGCACCAAAATTTTCTTTTAAAGGCATTGATACATCATCTACAAATATCACATACTTTTTATTTAATGGTGGACCATAAACGCCTTTTCGACGTTTATCTAATTTGGACATAATAATATTTTGAGTTTGATTAGCAGAAGTTTGAGCGGAGAAGTTTAGCATCATTGGTGTAAATATCTCCAAATCCATACGTTTCAACATATAATTTATTACATATACACTTTTACCGGTACCAGTGGGACCAACAAACATTATACCCTTTCCATTTTCAACCAATAGTGCAGTAATCGCTGTAATACGCACACTTTCTTTTGTGGTAATTATAATTTGGTTGACTGGTATATCACGCGGTATGGGTGGCGCGGTCTCTACATCATCTTGCCAAGCCTTCCACTTACCTTTGCCATCCTTAATATAGCGGTAATCAAACACTGTATGATCTTTAGGCATTGGAAAAATATATGGTTTTGTTAAGGCTGGTACTTGTAACTCTTCTGGTATACCAAACTCTTCATAGAGACTGTCATTGAAAGCTTTGTCTGTTAGTGCGCGAAAGAACATACTAAACTTAAGGCGACTTTCTGCATCTAAAGCACCCCCAATAGACCAAACTAACGCAAACATAAATGGACCTTCAATCTGCGCACGAAAATCTAAATCTGTAAGAGCAGCCATGTATTTCTCATCCCTAAAGTCTTCGTAATAACAATCCAGAAAATTCAATAAGGAGGTTATTAGATTTGCATCTGTAGTTGGTGCAATTTCATTCAAACATTTACGCACAAGGAACAATAGAATTGAACAAAAACGGTCGAAGAGGCCATCGATAACTTGTCTGGCTATGGTGTGAAATGAATCCGGTAACTTATTTTTCCAAGTTGTAACTAAAATTTCCCAACCAAGAGTACTTGGTTCCATATAAATCATACCACAACGTGAAACAGTTGCTGGTGAGGCAACTTCTAAGTCCATCGGCTCAAATATCAAGTTCGTTGTGGGAGACAGTTGTATAATCTCACCAGACATAAGGCACAATTTTTTGTTGTCATCAAGTACAGTGTTCATATTTTCTATCCAAATAGCATCAACAGGTCCATCAAATATCAACCACTTTCGATCCGGCGTATCAGTGATTGCAAAATACCGATAGCTTACGGCTAACACGCCGTCACTCCACTCATGAGATACAGCATCAAACTGCCCATATAATTGTCCCATCGTAATGGCTTTGGGGTTTATTATTGTATATATAGCACGATTTTCGCCAGCATTCTACAAGAAACAAAAATTTTATTATAATAAAAAATTATATCAAAACTATATTCAGTAAGACCCTTAGTTCCATGCACTCTAGCGCATCAGCTAAAACACGATAACAAGTGGTTTTGCCGCCAAAAGGTAAACCGACAATCATGAGTCCGTGGCGAACAACGATCATTTCATAAAGCTTAAATAAAAAAAAATTTATTGATGTAAGTTTTTTCATATGAATTCAACTATGTTTACCTGTTGAACTTTTTCCAAAAAGAAATCTGTGCATTGTAAATTTTGACTGTTACAGACTTTCCGAACACATTCGTTGAAGATAACATAATCAGATTCCGGTAAGATAACGCCAGGGAATAAATCAGATGTAATACCCTGAAATAATGGTATATCTTGATTAAGAAACTTCGGTAAATTAACGTCCTTAATGGAACGCAACACTAATATGTCTTCGTTCTGATCACGATAGCGCAACTTAAGCGCTCCTGCTGCCTTCAATACGGACTTTACAGCACGCATGCCATAATCATAATGGCACTGAGTACTCAGCTGTTCAGAGCACAAACGATAAGTAGCCACAATCTTAACAGATAGCGGTTTTGCCGTCAAAAATCCATAAGAATAAAGTTCAATTTCTGAGATAAGCGCATAATCCGGCACCATCATAGCTACTGAACGGAATAGTGCCTACATATGCGGAAAGTCAAGATATACACATTATTTATATGTTTAATATAAAATTCTTTTAATAAACCTTTAAATTATCAGGCAACTCAGAACGTCCAGCATAACCAGGGTTCATGGTAATAAAGACAGCACAAGTGGGATCCAATGTTAGAGTAGTGCCTTCAAACACCAAAGTAGGACTGCCGGAGTTAATACCACGTTGTATAGTAAGAATCTATTGTTATTTTTTTTTTTTAGAATCACATTTTTTACACTTGCATAAGTAATAATTAAAAAACGAAACTTACCTGCTGGGCTACAACGGACAGCACTTCCAAATCAATTCGATTGAACTCATCGAAACATGACCAAGCACCGCATGATGCTAGACCTTTGAAGAATTTACCCAAGGCAAGATAATCCAAACCATCGGAACAATTGAACACCACACATTGTTTAGCAACAGCTTTAGCCAAATCTTTTGTCGTTTCTGTCTTACCGGTACCAGCGGGACCTTCTGGTGCACCACCTAAATGTAAATGTAAAGCACTGAAAAGTGTGCGATAGCAACGATCCGTTAATGGCGTTACAACTAAACGAGTAGTATTGCCCAGATATTCATAACCATATTTAAGAGAACAATTAATCATGCGTGTATCTAGATTATTCTCCTCCCAGTAATAACGCAACTAGAATATATCAAATATATACCTTACATATACAAATATCTATTAATATTACAAACCTGACAGAGCCATTGGAAGTCATTAAGATCCTTAACACCTTTCTCATAAATTTCAGCTAGTACATCACGTGCATGTACATCTAATACAACCAAAGCTCCAAGAGTAATACGGTTTTGCAAATTCAAATCACCACGCACCAAATCAACAATCTGGCCAATCTATATAGGATGACGTATATGATCAAAATTTGTTATTTCAATTACTTATTGTAATTAACTTACCTGAAATCTACACAAATCCAGGAATTTCCCTAAATTCTCAACTGGGTGCTCCGACAAGAAACATTCTGTGATGCGTAATGTCCAATATGTAAGTGATATGGATTGCACACACTGTCCGGGCCACACCAAAACCCAATTATCTCGAGGCATGTGTGGATAGCTGAAGAAGGCTTCACTGACTTTTTTATGTATACTCTTTTTCATATCGATCTCCAAATCGAGCAACCATTTTTCAACTTGACCACGAGCTTTAGCTGTTGATATCACATCAACCAATTTAACCTCTTCACGTTCAGATGAACGCATGGCTGTAACTTCTAACTCTTCGGTGAAATTTAAAGTAGCAATACCCTCGAAGCACTTTTTAAGATGTGGCTGTACGCGTGTGGGATCTTTGGTTTCGGATAGAATCTCAAGTAATTCATCATTTGACAAGAAGAAGAAGCGCGGGAAGTACAAACGTTTCTTTTCCAAATACTGTGAATGAACAAATAATTATTTTAGTTTTGCTTGTACTATTTATTTACTTGCATTTTTTTTTTATTAAGATGAAGACTGGATAAAACAATAGTCTTTAATAAGTAAACCATTGTGCTCAAAAAATGGATTTCACAATTTAAGCAATTATCCGAAAATAATATATAATTTAATATATATAAATTATATATTGATTCTCTGTTAGTCGCACAAATATATATAACATATATAACAGATAAACAGATAAGCAACCAGAGACTATATATTCGAATGGCTTTTCAACGCCCCAAGCAATTATAAAAATGTGATATCAAATATATATATATATTGAAACCTTGCGTTTAAACTTACATTGTTGAGACCTTTTTGTATAATTTCCAATAATTGATAAGCTTTTTTTAATTTTTCTGACATCTTCTCAATCTCAACCACTGTCATAACCCTCGGATCCACAACAACTTGTTTCATGAGTTCTTTCCAAATCTAATTATAATATTATAATATATATTATATATTACTATACGTGCATTTGCCATGTATTATATATACAGTATCAAATACAACTACCGATATATGAAAATGTTACCTTATCGACAGCACTGAATCGTCTACCCTCCTCAGGCATTTGTTGTTGAATATCAGGACTGGAGAAAATTGGCTCCAAATACATCCAAGTGGATTGCACACGGCACCATTCATCCAATATTTCTTGTAATAACATTAACTTCCGTTCCCATTTTCTGAAAGTAAAAAAGAATATTTATGAACGTTGAAGACTAATCCCTAAAATATTTAAGTTTCTTAAACTTTACTTACAGCATTTGCTCCTCAAATGGTTTAATGTATGGTGAACTCTTCATTGTTTGTGTTTTGATAATATGATCATCCAGCAATATTTGTATATCATCTACCGCACCCAGTTTATAAGTACCAGTATCTCTGTGCGGTGAAACAGTAAATGCAACATCTTCCCACTCTTTTTGCATTTTTGCCAAAGCTTTTTCCAAATTATTTTCTTTGGTTGCACTTTCTGAGATGGCCTCAAATCTAGGTACATATTCTTCAAGTTGAAAATCAATAACTTTGGCTAATGTTAAATCAGGCGTTACTTTTATGGGGAAGCCAATTATCTCAGATACTTGCTCCCAATGGCGTGCTTTCATACCAGGATTTCCTAGAGTACTAATTATTGGCATGTGTTCACGGAACTCTTCAATTCGCTCTTTAACCTGTTATAATTATTAAATCGATATTAACACACATAAAATAAAACAAATCAAATTATAATAATAAGTAAAAAATTAATAATATATAGGATTCTCTCTCTTTATCGGAGACATATAATTGTGAGAGGTGATTCCTGGAAGTATTCATATAGTTACACACAGTCTATTATTTTAACTGAGATATAAGTTGCAAAAACAAATTTATTTAATTTAAAATATTGAGAATTTTGGGCTTGAAGGAATTGTTCAGATAGAAGGGTTTTTATTGCTTCTATAATTATTTGAAATAATTATAAATTAATAGACACCAATACGATGGTTCTCACTTCTTAAGTTAATCAATTGCTTTCTACATTAATTTCGTTTTGGTTCGGTGCAAACTGCGTATACTTACATCTCTAATGAGAGCTTGAGTATGCGGCTTATCTCCCATTTGTTTCTCCAATTTTTGGACAATACGATATATATTAGCAACGTCATTTTCAATCTCATCTGGATCATACGAGCCAACTTGTGAATACATCCAAAGATTATATTTATCCAGAAACTCTTGTCCAGCATCGAACAATGTTTTATAAGGTCTCAATTGATCATGTGCTTTCTTACGTATAGGATATTGTGAGAGTTCCCAACCGAACGCTGCTTCTTCCTCATTAATTTCATCTATTACTTTCATGGCATCAACTAATTTTGCATCAAGTACTCCTGCTTTACGTTTATAGCGTGCCAAATGATTAATATCACCCCATTGATCGTACTCCTTTAACTGTTCATTATAATTATTTAAATCGCGTTTAAACATTTCTATACGTTTTTTAAGCAATTCCTGGTACTCTACGCTCTTTTGTGCAACTATTTTGCGATGTTTGTCGAATATCGTATGTAGTTTTTTATACCAAATAACGGTGTTGCTGTTATTCTTAATTTGTAAAGTTATATATTGAGTGTTATCCATAAGCCAGAGCAAATGTGATATATTCTATAAAACATATTATATGATTTCAGATTTAATATTATTGTATATTACTTCTAATACCTACCGTTCTTAAACGGTCTTCCATTTCATACACTACTACCTCTTCGACGCGTGCAACGTATGCTTTCAGTGCCATAAGTTCCGAAGTATTTCTAGGTACTGTCAGGGCTTTCTTAGCGATTGCTTCATACTCCCTGCCCATTTTAGTCATTTCAGATTGCTGTTGTGATACCATTGTACGCAATAACTCATTTTGAAAATAACGCGCAATACGTTGAAGATTTCTTATGAAGTTTTCACGATTAAATTCGAAAAGTCCCAGACGCATAACACCCCATATTTCTCTTGTTATTGTATACTCTAAATCTCTATAATATTTAACCATGTCACAATACTTTTCAAAATTTGGTCTCGATGCTTTAAACTCGTATACTCTCCTGGCTTCAATCCCATTAACAAGCACAAGATATTTGTCAAAATCATGTATACGTAATTCAGGTAAAATACGTTGTTCTTCTATCAACTCAGAAATGCGTCGGCCAGCATTTTCTACTATATGTTCCGGTATAGCAGGAACCAAGTAATACGCTGTGCCCAGTTTCAACTCCGTATAGAGTTTATTCTCAATGCGTGGCATAGCTTTCACAGCTACAAGTATACCCTCAAGTATACGTAATAATTCCGCTTCAACTTTTTTAAATCTGGGAAAAAAGGATATACTGTCTTCTCTCTCTAATATAAGATCCAACTTGATGCCAGGCCAAGTTCTCTGCAATATAAAATTTAGCATTGAATCATATTGAAAAATACTTCTACTTACGCCATATTCGAATATAAAATTTGTGAAGGCGTGTATGCTGCGTATGCACATGTCTTCTAATTGCTGTGTCATAAGGGCACCGGCACAATTAAAGAAGCAAACCACTAACTCCAAATCATCCAGAGCAGGTAATAAACGTTTCTTATTATAACGCGCTAGAATTTGATGTATTTCTTTGTACCACGTTTGTTCCAGAAGTCTTTTTGTTTCCTCTATCATGCGTCCACACTCATACTAAAATAGGTTAATTAAATTATCAGTTAAGTTATATATTTAGGCTTTCAAAGAGATTAAAATAGAGTGCATACTTACTGCAAAATCGTAGACGTCTATGACTTTATCAGTTCTAAAAAGATCGACTTCAACAAATAACTTTTTTCGATACTTTGTATTCCACAGCGACAACATACCAGCGATTGCTCCATGTATACAAAAAAGTACTCGACCCAATCTAGTACGATTTTGCTTATAACTGAAAAATAAAAAATGTATATACTTATATAAGCAGTTGAAAGCTATGTCAAAATTCGGATCACTGAAATTCAATCCACAAAAAATAAATTAGATATTTTTACATTAATGATCACCTTTAATAATTATTAAAGGGATTCCCGATCTCGAAAATCCAACTCGAGTGAATAAATTTTGTTGTTCCCGCTTTGCACTGTTACTTCTATATGTTCTTCGGTTACCGAGCTCATTACCCGAGATCGTATCTACCACTATTGATATACTTTTTATATAAAATTCAAATAACATTCTTTTTTTGTTTCTGATCTGACAAAATTTCAAGTTAAAAATATTGATCTATTAACAACTAATGGTTAAGTGTGTCTGAAAGACATCCAAAGGACTTTACGCAGATAGCACGACCAGTCCCAAAAAAAAATAATCTTACTAAATATTTCAAGTTTAAAATATAATGTCGAACTTCTAACCGTTAAGTACCATGTCTATATGGAATACTTACAAAAAGACTTAACATGTTTAATATGTTAATTTGCTAATGCTAACGCTAACTGCTATGTATCTCTAAAAGTCCTGCAAAAAGACTTGTTATATATGAAATGAGCAGTCAAAAGGTTCTGGATTAATCAATAATAATTTTGTTATAAAAAAGCCCTGAAAAAAATACATTTAAGGAAAACTTTCTTGACTTGAATTAAAACAAAAATCGAGAAATAACATGTGAAATATAAGTCGGAATCTCTCATACATCTACGCTCTAATCGTAAACCAACTCTTCAGCTGTGTAATATTTCAGATCAAGTATTATAGTACTGATCCAATATTTTTTTATTATTATTGTTAGAAAGCACAATAATGTTTTACAACGTATGAGATTTCTTGTAATATCGCTGGAGGTTAAACTAACAATATCTTTTGTTCCATATCTCAGACGTATTGAGGCAGTGGACTCAATCCCTGATAATCGTGAAGTGCTGACAGGTATGATGAACGAATGTACAACTGTACATTTTTAAAATCTGCAGGATTCAGCGTCCCTATAATCCCATATTCCAAAAGTATTAATTAACGACTGCACAGCTAGTTAAGAAACTAGTAATTAATCTAAGTTAAACTAATTCAACATACTTAACTAAAAAATTTTTAATTATTTTATGACTAAGATTAGTACACCAAATGTACTTCGAATCCAATAACTTTAAGTCTATACACTTTATATAAGCGTGTAAAATATATATTTAAATACTAACAAGATATATATAAATGACGTCCAAAAACTGCATGAAGTACAGACAATATCGTTTTGGAAGATTGTTGAATAATCAAAAGAGATTTAGAATCCATGCCGTTACAGGGACGATGTTTGACGGGTTCAAAAATCAATGCAATTATATATAGCTCTCTTACGGTCTTTCAAAATTAAGAATTTGGATTAGAGAAACTGCAGCATAACAGCACTTTTAATTCTGCTGAGAACATTAATATTATTAGAAAATTTTTTTGCAGTCCTATATAACCAACTGTAAAATGTAGCTCCAGAGCTAGGAAGAATATACAACCGTATGTGAAAAAAAAATGTCTAAGTGTGGTTAATTTTTGCTTTCCGTGCTGTGACTTAAATACGCTTTTTTGCACTTTTCATGCTTCATGGTTGGTTTGAAAGATGTTTTTCTTTTCATTTTCATTTAATTTAGATTTAATATAAATTTTTAACTAAATTCTTTTTTTTTTCTTTTAGAATTTTTTTTTTATTCTTTGTCATTTATTTTTTTCAATGAAAATAAATAGAAGAGAAAATGTGTGCCTTGCGCAGCTCATAAGAATCTTTATGGACTCCATCACATAAGATTTAGATTGAGTTATTTGGGTTTGAATACTCAAAGGACTTCTACGCTTTGCACATATTTTAAGCCGAAACAAGAAAGGAAGAAAAAGAAGGAAAAGTACACAATCAAGGAACTTTGAGGACTTGATTGCATGTGAAGCGAAGATGTTTTATAAGAAATTAAAATATTTCTGAAGTTCCTCATACAAAAATATGTCAAAAGCAACGAAAAACACTCAACATAAATTTGATGCGATAAAGTTGAAGAAAAATTTCACTTCAATATATAAATATTGATAAAAAGAAATAGTTTGTAATAAATTTATTGTAGAATGTTACTATTCTTTATTATTTAAAAAGATATAATTTTTAAAAACAGAAGCATATTAATATCTAATTCCTATCTAGTCTCTATATAGTAACCGTCAGGCTAAAGAGCTAGTGCAACCCTATAATTATAATAAGATATGCTTCTTCAGCAAAACAGATTTAAGATTGCTGGTAGGATATTTAGCGGGTCACTACGGACTACGTTACCACCTCAACAAAATGGGTCTGCCTGAAGAGATAGAATGTAGACTCTGTTTAGAAGCAGAGGAGACATCCAGCCACATTCTATGTGACTGCCCAGTATGTGTTTTTATAACAATTCTATTCCCACAATAATTCCGCTTACTAATTCTTAGGAAAAAAAGACGACTACCCAAGGCAACAAACAGTTTAATAAGTCAACTGAGATCAGTAGAGATATACTACATCTCAAAAAAATACTTTTCAAAAATTAATACGACGTGTTTATACATCTACGTATATACAAACCAAGCTCTTACTTATGACATTCACAGTCACTTCATAGGATACACAAATCTGGCTGAACTTGACCTGCGGCTTCATCTTACTGGTGTACAGGTTAAACTAAATCTGTGTCCACCACTTCCTCTTTCTAAATCACATAAGTGATTTAGGAGTTACCACGCTATCCAGCTATTCATAGTTTACTTGCTTGACTTTATATATCAATTAAGTACATTCACAATATACACCTGCATAATAAATTTCTAGTCTCTAAATATTCAAGTAGCAACGTTGCTTTAATCTATTCTAGAAACAACTTCTTGTTTACAATAATTTTCTATCTATTCATTAACATAAATCCATCCAACTGAATAACTTCACATTAATCTTGTATTATTATTTTCAGATTAGTGAAGCTCAATCCGAAATCCGCGATAGCACTTTGATAACCATTATATTTAGTTAATGATATCCGAATACAGCAAGATATCTCCTGAATTTTGAATACCAAATATGTCAAATTATTTTGTCTCTTTCTGAAAGTATTTATACTCTTTCTTCCCAGTATATAATATAATGCGATTCAGTTCTTTCACATTTTTTCATTTCTTGGAAATCTTTCTCAATGTTACTTTCAACGGCACTGCAGTCGTTTAAGTATCAAATATAATTGTTTGAGACATTCCCATGGTCATTCAAAAAATATTTGGACCTTGGTCGAGATATTGAACTCTGGTACTTTTTAAGATGCTACCGAGACCATAGCCTGTGTTTGCGTTATATTACGATAGGGGTAATACTGAAGAAGTATTGAAGCTTTTGGGATCATGAATTCTACATATACATTCTAGAGCATTATGAAGAACTACAACTATGGATGCTGTTGTATTAAATCGTGATGAGTATACGGTGAGAATATGTAGAAAGGAATTATAAAAACATTCGTGGAAGAAATAATTTTCCAAAAGGCATTATGTGTTAAGTGGGTGCGTACAGAATAGCTTAAAAAGATAATATGGATTCAGAAAAAAAAATTGTATGATAGAAGTGAGTATATTTTAAATAGTCACCAATATCCAAAGTCTCTAAGAAAGCTCTGCATATAAAAATCGTCTGAGAATATCTCAAAAACAGCTTATATTTAGGACGATGTGTATTAAAAAATTGTAAACATTTTCTTGATTATCTATTATATATGTTAAAATATAATTTAAAATATTAATATTAAAGCCAACTTAATGAACTACCATTTTGTACTCACCGAAAGAAGTACGCATGATAGAGTTTACGTATTTCAATAGATTCTTTACATCTCTCGAACTTGTCATCTTCCTTGACGAGACTTATAGCATTACGCAGAACGTAATCAATAACGCCCTTTTTCATAGAGTTTATAAAATCATCTCGGACTTCACGAACTGTAAATGGAACATATTTGACCCATTGTAGCAAACGCGGAGGAATAAGAGAATTAATGCTGTGAATGTTTTAAAAAAAAAATTATTATTATTTTATTATTTGAATAACAAAATGTGAGTTTCTTACCGCCGTTGTAATTTATTTGTTATTGGTGATATAGTTGTAGTATCCACACCATGCGAAATGTAATGATGATACCGTAATAGTACACGCTCACGCCAATCTGGCATTACAAATTCCTTTACATCTGTTTCGGGTTTTTTGTCATCATCCAACATTATAAGACGTATAAGATTTCGTCGAAATTCTTCGCGATTCTCTCGCCTTGTAACATAAGTCGATTTTCCTAACATATAGACAGGATGAGGATTATATAAATTTAATTAAATTTTGTGTCATACAATAGTCTTTTATAAAATATTTTAATTTTTTTATTTTAACATTAATTAATACACACTTCTGCGACATGTTTCCGAAGATGAACTTAACTGTACTGTACGTCTTTCACATGTTTTGTGTAGAGAAGTCTTACGATGTAAAATTTCACCATCGAACACTTCACTAGTCACGTCGGGCATATTCAGCTCATACCACATTTTTCGTGTTGTGGACTCGAAATTCGTCCTAAGCTGTAAAAAGTTCTCCACAACCTGGCGTTGTGGCCGCTTGAAGATGACCCTATATTTAGGATCTAGCTTTCCTTTTTTTGGCGGCTTTGGACATAGTTCATCTAATTCGTCAGAATCTGAAATATTTAAAATTATTATATAATATAACATTATTGGTAATAACTTATATAATGTATATAAAAATTTAGTTTTATTTCAAATTATATTTACTTTTGTATACTTCTAATATACTCATAAAAAGATTTTTGTACTCATTCTGTATAATTAACTGCAATCAGTGGAAATTCTATAGGGTTTATGCGCGATTCCGCTTTTTGCTCAACTAGTAATATACACCTATCCATAATCTACCTACCTATCTAACAGTCATTAATTACCGTAATACTTCATTTGCTTATAACATATATTAATGTTTACTCAATGCATTTAGTGAAACATTTATGATCTTGAAGAAAGTCGTCTTGAATAGACTTATGATAATTTCATTTTATCATTTTATAATTTCATTTACTCCTAAAGGAGCTTCCATGAGTTTTCTGAACTTTACTCTGTTGCCAGACGCTTTGTAGATTTGCTTCCAACTTTTCTTACCTACTCATGCATAATAAAGCCTCTCTACCGGTGACTACCCTCCGGATTCAATGGATTCTATCTTAAATATAATTAAGCCTCTCTGCCATCGAGTACCCTTCGGATTCAATGGTTCTATCTTATGGCCTGTCCACATATAACCCATTCGTATTTCCTCTACATAACATTTTTACCAATACTAAGCCATAGTTCACGTTTTGCCAATCGTTTTAGCTAGAACCGTATCCAGAAGTTTACTTCAGGAGGTGAGAAAAGTGTGCTTTCAAATTATTTGATTGATTATAAAAATAATTTGTGTTATAAGCCTATAAACCCATATAAAAAAATATTCTACAATATTTTGACATTGCGACATTTTATTTTATATGGAATACAATTTTATATGGAATTAAACAACCATAATGCATTAATAATGAATATAAAAATCTATACAAATAAAGTCCTTCAATTTATTTTGGTGGGTTTCAGCCTATCACGATTCACATTTGTCGGGCTACGCATCTGATTCCGGTCAATAAATTTTCAAGATACAACTGATACGTTTTTTTGTGTAAAATAAATTTTTTATTAAATTCGGTTGACTCATCCAAATAGCTTTCTCAACGACTTTCTGCTAGGTCCAGCATAATCTAACTTACAATCATCATAAAAAGATTTTGGACAAAAATTGTTAACTTCATTCACCCACTCATTATATTGGTCAGTTGATGTTGTCCCATATCCACATCGAACTTTTTGGGTTATTACAACAATTTATGTACCTATGACGCCGTGAACAAAACAAGTTCTGATGTTGTTCTGATAAACTAACATAGACAATAGAGAAACATAGACAATGCAAGCTCACTTACAAGCAGATAAAAAGATAAAGGTAAAGGTAAAAAGAAATGTCTATTTAGTTGTCTTCAATTATAGTGTCTTGATGTCTTAGTGTCTTAGTCTTAGTTTTGAAAACTTGACCAAATACGCCCCCTCCGACATTTACTTTCTCTTCACTGCAGCCATCAATAATGTTAGTGTCAAAATAATTAAATATTCAAACATTTTCTATGTCATTTAATGGAGTGGTCGTACAGCTTCGGAGTCATAACCTCCCCGCAGCTTCTCTTCAGTTTTAGAAGTAGTAGCTGCCTTCGTTGCGAACCGTTTGTCTTTTCAGATGACCAAGTACCGCTCGCTCCTGCCAACACGGGTTATAACAACAACAGCATTTTTGTCTTACTAAAGTTAGTCTCGAGACCAACTTTTTGAACTCCATGTATTCTGGCACCACAAAATATGCAATTCAGAGATTATTCAAGCAATATCTCCTTAATGGTCTTAAAAATTGCCTTTGGACAGCTCATAAAAATAATGATTATGATACTTAACTTGCTTTTAATAATTTAATATTTTATCATTAAAAAATAATAAGAATGTTTTAATGTTTTTAATATGACGTCACATAAAATATTACTTCAATCAATTGTCACTAAGGTATCAGCTATAGCACACGCAACACTCCTTGTAAGCTCCAAACATATGAGCCTTTACAAAAACACAGTGGGTCTTATGCATAAAAATTGCCTAAGTTGACATAGTCAATAATTAGTAATAAAATTATTTGCAATACAATTGATATTTTCATGTGATTATAATTTATTTACTGATTTTTTAAATGAAATCATTTCTTTACATTTAGCCTTTACACAAACCATGAATAAAGCAAACATTTTTAAATAACCGTCTGCCTACACTGAACACACATAACCAACTCAATACTAATGCAATAAAAACAAAGTAGCAACTGTCAAAAGGAAAAGAAAAGCCGGTCAAAAAAAAGTATGACAGTTGAAATGTCAAAAACATATGCCGAAAAATTATTTATACGTCCGGCGTGAACGTTTTGTTGTGCAATCACATTCCACATAAAGGAAAAAGTAATTTTCTATTGTTTCTTATAAGTAAAAAATACTTTAAATTTCATTTTAAATTACATACCCATTTTATGAATATTTTGTGCAAAATTTTAAATTAAATTTCACTTAGTAAAAATATTTTATTAATTTTTTTTTGTAACTTCACAATTGGAAAAGTGAAACACTTATGTGCGCGCTTGTTTTTAGTTATAAATGAACTACACACAAAGAATATATATATTTTTGTTTATTTCATATTGATTTTTGTGTTTACTATTTTCCATGCACTGTAATTTATTGTCAAAACATAAATAAACATGAAATTTTCCTGGTTTCCTTAGCATTTTCCAGCCGTCGAAGTGCAACAAGTTTACAATTTTCATTGTAGAGGCAACGAGACGCACGCAGGCCTTAGTAGCAAAATGTTTCTGCAACAATTCCGACGCTCATTCCACGTAACACGTTTCGCTTGCAATGCCAGTAAGGAGAAAAATGCATTGGCCACGTTGCGGAAGAAAACCGGCTACACATTTGCCAATTGCAAAAAGGCATTAGAATTGCATCAGAATGATCTTGAATTGGTATAAATTTTTTTAGTTACATAATTTTCTCTAATTAAACTTAAATAAAATTGTTTTTCTTTTCTTTGAAACTTTAAGGCTGAAAAATGGTTACGTGAACAGGCACAAAGTCTTGGCTGGTCCAAGGCTACCAAACTAGCTGAACGGAGCACAGCACAAGGTTTAGTCGGTGTATTGATACGTGGTCGTATTGGCGCTATGGTGGAGGTTAATTGTGAGACAGATTTTGTTGCACGTAACGAACATTTCAAGAGCTTTGTTGATCGTGCATCGCGCCTTTGTGTAAGATACACAGAAGCTTCTGATTTTGATGGTGATCTCTGGAAGGTGAGTGTGCTGATATAGAATAGAACCAAATTTAACTTTACTACTTTTTACTTTTTTACCATTATACCATTATATAATACCATTATAGTTTATGTTATCACAAGGGTTATAAGAGCAAAAGCATCTATATCCATGAGCTAGACTCATCAAAGAATATATTGAAATCACCATGACCTACCAATTTGTACCGAGTTCCTGTTAGTAAATATAAAAAATATCATTTCTAAAAAAATGCTTACGTCGTCGTCTCCTTGCATAAAAGTATTTAAAACTCTAAGCTATGTTTTAAAAATATATTGTTGTAAATTATCTTGTAATTACAAATGGATGAGATATTATAATAGGTGGTTGAGGTAGATAGATAGATTTTTGTGAATGTTAAATTCCGATTTGTGAAACTATGAATTAAAAAATTTATATCAAAATGTAAAGGTAATTGTGGTGTAGACGTTATAATATCTAAGAAAACCTTATCGTTACGCAAGATTAAATTTTAATGACTAGAGAAGTACTATAGAATAAAGATTCATATTAATGAAAGAATTACTGTAGACCCACTTGTTATCAGGGCGACTATACAAAGTTCTTTAACCAAAAGTTGGATGACCAAATCATAAATTAATCGTCACTTCCTAAAGATATATATATACTTAAATGGCGTTACATCATATATACCCTTTGTTAACGTACTGAAAACATTGAACCCCAAATGCTTGCAAGGTTGCGGTTATCGCTTAGTCACCCACTACCACATAGAAAAGATCAATTCATGCTGACTTAAAGGTGCTGGGTTACACTTGGAATGGTATTAGTTGAGAGACAGGAAGGACTATTTTATAACAGATCTGTCTACATAAATGGTTTTATGTAATATATATAATAACCTACATTTTTTAACGACACTGTTTTTTTGTCTTTGCGGTGTACTAAAGTATCTTCAGCTTTACCGGAATCGCCGCCACTTACCCACCCATATAATCGTCTTGTATATCCTTTTATGTTATCTCCTTACAGGTCTCAGGGGGTTATAAAAACAACAACATAAGATTGCAGCGCCCGTGGAGATAAATAGGATGTTCGCAAAAAGAGGGAGTTTCTTAACTCCAAAGAAACACTGACTCCAATAAAACAATATTAAACTTTTAACATTTCTTATTTAAATTTCTTATGTTATAATTTTGGAACTTAGAACATCTTTAATTTATCTCATATAAATAAATATATATGTATTGTTTTTGTTTTTTGTATACAACAATGTAATATATTCCTATTTATTTATTTTCAGCTTGGTTTTGAATCAGAGGCGCTGATGAAACTTAGCGATGGAGAAGGCAAATCTCTAGGAGATCATCTAGCACTATTGATTGGTACTGTTGGCGAAAATGCTACTATTAAACGTGCGATTTGCTTTAAAACCAATAATGATGTGCAACTCTCTGGTTATGCACATCCCTCACTATCCAATGATGCAGTTTTAGATGACATAACACAAGTCGGAAAATATGGTGCTTTGGTAGCTGTTCGTTCTGGCAATAAAGTAGATGACGAATTTCAAAAAAATTTATGCCAGCACATTGTTGGCTATAATCCAAAGAAAATCGGAGAAGAAGGGAAGGATAAACCCTTGGCTGAGAAAGATGACGAACCTTGTCTCATCTATCAGGAATTCATTGTCGACCCCGATAGAAGTGTGGGTGAAGCACTCAAAGAATATGATGTGTCTATTGTTGATTATCAAAGATTTGAATGTGGTGAAAAATTGAAGAGTGAACAAGTTGAGGCCGTGAATCTAAATTGAACAAAACATTAATTATATATTTAATAATTATTTTATTAATTTAAGAAATTATTTGTTATTAAATATAAAATGTAAAATATTATTTAAAACGTATTTTTATTTAATTTATATAAAATGTTTTTAAGTAAAAAAAATCCGTCAATGACGGAGTTACGACTTTGTTTATGACTCCGGTCGATCTTGTTATTGTTGTTATTATTGTTGTTTTGCGTGAGGGATCTACGCATGAGTGCGCCTTCGATACTGGGTAACAACAAGGGCATGCAATGCTTACTTTTGATATATAATTTGAATTTTTATCCAAAAATATGACTAATAAGAGGGGTAATAATAGCAACCAACTCCTTTCTACCTTTATAACAAAATAAAATGTAAATTATTTCATATGGAAAATGCTGGCAGGTTGACGCGGCAACAAGTGCGTTAATAAACAATTTTGTTAAGGTATTTTTACTTGACAACTTTACTTCGATTAAAAAAGAAGTACATATAAAAATGTGTAATGAAAATGTCTATTAGGCAGCGTTCACTAAAATACACTTTTCTATATATTTATTTCCATAATATACACTGTTAAACAAAAATAATTATTATTTTCTACTATTAGTATTATTTGAATAATATTTAATTTTATATATAATATTTGCACTATTAAATATTTTTAATATTTAAACACTGAAATGTTTTACGAAAACTGACAGGCTTACCAAAACCACGTTATCCAATCTCAAAATAGTTATACGGTCCTCGGGAAGGTACACAGATATAAGGTCAATTATTGCTTAGTCTAATGAAGTGATAAACAATAATCTAGTTAAAGAGTTATGAAGAAACCTCGCAGTTAATAGAGAGTAAGAGTGCTCAAGTGCACTGATTCAATTAGCCTCAACATAATAATAATATATAAGTAAAAGTATAAACACAAAGTTACATATAAATATATATATAATCGCTTAGAATAAAGTTCAAACAGTATAATACTTGGTTTGGTTTTGAATAAAGTTCAAACACCAAGTGAATTTCCGCATATACATACATACATACATAAGTATAAATGTACGTCAAACTGTGCAAATCAACTAAAAGCATAAAGTGATTAATAATTTTCCACCACCGCCAAAATGTTGAATATTATGACCTGCAACAACAACAAAAACAACCGTAGAATTACAAACATAACAACATTGCAATAGAATACAACAACATCAACTGACAATAACAAAATTTTACCACAAAGAGAGTAACAGTAACAAAAATGAAATTAAAATAATTTGGACATGAGAAAGGAAGGTTACTTGGCGATTTTGTCAGTTGATTTCGTTAGTTGAAGCAGTTAAAAATCGTGCTTTGTGCTTCCTCTGAGTGCCGGCATCAAAGAGGAATTTTTTTTTTTAAATTAAATTATTTAATACCAAATATAAAATTATTTTTTATATTCAACTGGTAGAAATATTTTTTTAATTTTAACGAAAACTAAAACGAAACTAAATTGTTTTTATTCAATTAATATAATACCACAAATAGAGTGATATTCTTCGAGTTTTGTTAGTATAATACGGAACAAATGTGAAATTATAATAAACTTATTAATTTTATTAATTAATATATATTATAAAATTAAAAATTTTCTTTAAATTAAATATTAACTTAGAGTAAAAAAAAACAATTGTCTGCACTTGGAATATAATTATTTTGTGTTGCTCTGCTTTTGCACTGTTAACATTTTAACTGTTGATTTGCCAAAAACAACAACAACAACAAACAAGGAACAAGAAGCTGTCGTTGCTCCTATAAATTTATTAAAAAATTTTTTTTTATTTTAATAAAACTTTATAAATTGTCTTGCTCAAATGTTAGTACAAGACGTGGTCGTACACAATTTTATTACACAGGTAAGTAAGTACATGTACATACATATATGTATATGTATATTGCTATTGATATTTTATTCTCTGAACTTTTCCTTTATTTTCACTGAAAATGGCGACGACGAAGATTCAAAAAATAAAGGAATTTTTGTTCAACTCATGCTAAAAATTTAAATGTATATTGTATAACAAAAATTGTTGTTCATAGAATTAATATTTTTATTTTGCTAATGTGACAAACATTAAAAAAAAAAACTTTCATCAAACACTACATTTGTTGTTGCTTTAATTTTTTAATTTACGTATATACATATGTATGTATGTATATAAGTATGTACATATATTGAAAGCAGCAACAAATGTGGTGATCGACGTTCAAATATCGCCTATATAACAGTGACCCTAAACCCTTTTTAGCCTTCACACACACATGAAAAGTGTATATTAAATATGTCATTGTGTTTGTAAAGCGGGAAAAAGATATCTAAAGCCCTGTAATATATTTTTGAACAGATCTTTGACATAATTGATCTAATAAGATTCTTTTTTTTATCTAAATATATGCCCGCTTGTTTGTTTAAGTTGAAATTAGTCATTTAGTTTTTGAGAAAAACTAATATAAAAATGCTATAGAATTTTATAGACAATTAATGATGACGGTACAATCGAGATCTCATAATTATGTTCTGCAAAATACCACATGAACTAAATAATCAAAATTGATTTTTTTTTTGTTTATTTACAAAAATATTTAATTGTGTTAAATATAATGTCGTTTTTTTTATATTTAAAATACAGCAATAGAACATAACATTGTTGGTAAACTTATCATAAATACTAATGTACATATAAAATAATAAGCAGACAGGCGCCATGTTTAAATTTTTGCGTTTCCTTTGTCCTTCCAATGCACAAATAGTTAAATTGATAAGTAACGAGTAATTATTGTGCACTACTAGATCCTTCGTCCTACATTTTGTGAATATTTTTTTGTCAACTAGTGTAATTTTTTTTTTTTTAAACGTCCATTATTGGATATGAATAATACAATCGTGTGCAGGTTTATACTAAACCAGTGTTCAGTGTCCATAACTAGTGAATATCTGTTTCATATTCCTTTATATCAAAAATCATAATTTTACTTCTTAAAGATAATATGAATTTTGATTGTGTTTGCATACTATTAGAAAAACCAAACAAGTTAAGATTATTAAAGAAAACATCTAAAAATACTTTTGCTAAAGCACTTGATAACAATTGCACATCCTAAACTTTTGACAGGATTGTAATGAGAGGAATCATTACTCCTATCAAATTTTTTACAGGATCGTAATAAAAAGAATTATTGCTATTTCCAAATCTTACACAGGATCGTAATAAGAAGAACCATTGCTCATTCCAATTTTTTGATTGGATCCTGATAAAAAGAATCGGGTATACAATCCTTTTCATACTGTGCAAGTAAAAATATGCAAAATATCGAGATCGGATGGGAGTATAATCGTTCGTTGCATTAGATAGCACATTATAGAATAGTAGCCCACAACTCCAACCTATTTCTTTTTTTCAACCATGTGGACGAAAGATGTTACAAATGTACGATTTATATGGTCTCGGATATCTTCTTTACTCTCTAGAAATAAACCTCATTTTGCTATTTTTCACAACAGTTTTCTAGAATATAAACCTGAATATGGTCGTCTTTATGGTTTATAAAAATTTTAAATTAAATATTAACATTTTTAAACGTTTTCCTTCAATAATCAAAAAGATGAAATGTGCACTAATATTGTGAGTATTATAATACTGTCGTCCACAAAGATTTAAAGGGCTTTGTGTAATCAATAGTGAAATTGGTACAATAGGACTCTTCAAGCCGCAGTACCGGCTGTTGGGCGATTTCAGTTCAATAAATTTTTTTTTATAAAATAATTATAATACTCTTGATTTTCAATTCAATTGATGGTCTTCGGTAATACCTTCCTAAAGTAAAACTTGTTCTTTCCAGAATTTTTAGATTGTGTTAATCAGTATAGATTTCATTGTGACTGTAAGAGATTATTATTTACGTGGATGAAAAGCACTGTTGGCATAAAAAAATAATGGTGGTTTGTGATGCAAAAGGAGTAGCAGACATTGTGGAAAATGTAGTGGTAAATTGGATCCTAATGACTAATGTTCTGCTGAGCCATTTATCTCTTTAAAGGCAAAAAAAATAATGTTATGGCAACTTTAGATATACTAAAGTAGACGAATTAGCGAATGACTAAAAATTTCTCTATTGCTAGCAATTATTGAATTTCAGAAAAAAAATTCTGATCAAAAACTGAGATCAAAATTGTGCAAAAGGAAAGGTATTGTGTTTAATTCTAGAATGTTAGAGTTCAATTCTATTTATTGAAAATAATAAAAATGCTCTACTCCTTAATATAGCAAATAATGGAAAAACAATAGTTTTATTAATTTAATATTAATAAATAAATAGTAATACTTTACTATAGGTATGCAAATATTGATAAGAAATGTCTAGGGCATAAACAAATTTATCTAAATTTATTGCTTATAGATACATTTAATGGGAAATTTTTAATTATTATCAATATAGGTTTCAATAGATATATCAATCATTTATTATACTATATATTAGTTTGATTGATTTTGATACATTTTTGTTATATTATTCGAAATTTATATGTAAACAAAAAAAAAGATATGTTAATAATATATTATATTGTAATATATGATAACCTTGATAACAATGATAACAGCTAGAATGAAAAATTATAATAAATAATGCATTAAAAGGTAAAGAATCTCATCAGTTTCTTGTACTCTTTTTTATATTTATTAAGACCAATCAGACCCAAATCATGGAATATAACATTAGAAAGTATATATATACATTACATTACAAAAAACTTTTTTTAATTTATGCAAAATAACTTATAACCTTTATCTTATAAATACAATAATATTTTTTTTATAATTGTTAATAATAATACAATTTGTTATTTACATTATATGCTTATCAAGTCGAATCCAAGAAGTGTGATAAAAAGAAATGCACTGGTTAGTTCAAGTCCCGGAGTACACGAAAATTCTATTATATAGTATATACGGACCAGCAGTATCGTCGGTTTTAGTTTCAAGCATTTTTTACCGCAAATACGGCAAAGTAGTGGTGCCGTACGTACTTGAAGGGTCATGTGCACCGGGTCTAAGAAACTGCATACATTTTAAATTTCAGTATTCTATATAAATATAGAGAAAAGTTAAATATTTGTAACTAATCGCTTGCATTTATGAGTTCATAAGTACTTCAAATTTCTCAACTACATTATTTAAGTTAAATATAGAGTTATTATATAAGGGGTTTAAAAATTTTAGTGTGGATTACCTAAGTATAGTGGGAAGATAATACTAAATATTATTTTAATATAGACTAGATCAGTGGCAGTGTTTCGATGTCTCTATAAGAGTTTGAACTAAGTTACTATCATATATCAAATGGGTAAAAGTCAGGCAAATTGTTTGAAGCTTTACTTTTCCCTCACTAAATTTGATTCATTAAATCAATATGCGCTGAGTATAATATTATATTTAATATAAATTATTAATCCGCTGTTATACGAATCTATAATGACGCTGATCATGTTAAAGTTTCAAAAACAAATAATATTTAATTTATTAAAATTATAACTTAAGTATTTTTATTTAAATTTTTTATAGTATAAGTAATATATAAGTAAGTAACTTATAATACTGTGCTTACAGCAGAGCTAAAATAGACTATGGTTAAAAATTTTAAGTTCATCTTAAAGATCAGCCAAATATATTGATTTCACATTTACATTACTCATTTAATAGAACGCTTTCGAAAAGTAGTGAACCACAACAACAAAAATTCTTATATTATTTCAATTGAATTTTTGGCTGATCATACAGCTGTTTCGAGTAATGCCAAATACCCAACATCAGTGGCCTTGGAATTATTGTTTGTATTTATTTATTAGTAAATAATTTTATAAGACTACAAGTATCAAGAGTTGATCTCGTACCCTGCCAGATTTGAAGCTCAGAGTCAGCATTCATTAGCAACTGACCCTAATCCGTACTTGACTCATGGTATATGTTCGCACTTTGGAGTTTTGTTAATTTGCTGTGAAAGTTCATTAACAAATTCATTTGCTGTGTTATATTAGAATGAAATCTTACCTCTTTTAATACTCATTCAATATAGTTCAATGGACCTTTTCTTTTTGCGAAGCTAAAACCACACTTCAAAGGAGGCGTTTATGCCGATTGTCATCAAAGGAGTTGAAGAACATATCTAAGTTAGCCTGCAGAAAAAGTATGGGGGGTGGGTATATTTGTGTTACACTCGATAAAGCCTATTTTAAAGATCACAAAATAACTTTTGATTGATTGATCATTTTGAGATTGAGAATGTTTACTCAATGTGCGCTAAAATTTTATTCAAATGACATAATGTTTTATTTGTTTCATATACTTAAACATAATTATCAGTAAAAGAAGGTTGACATGTAACTATGAAGTCGATTCTTTGACAAAACATTTTACATTCATAATTTAAAGATATGATTTCTTTCATGTAACCGAAGAAAATATCCACTAGATGTGACTTTTTTAGTGTAATTTTAGTGAAATAGCAATGAAAATTATACCTTCATGTGTTAAATTTGTTTGATATGCTTTTGCTAAACTGAAAACCCAGCACAAAATAGCTATTCGAATTACCTAAACAATTAACAATAACAAAGACGTTATCAGTTCGGCGCAACTAGGTGAACATCTACAATTAAGCGACGCGTATTCCAAAATTCAAAACAGATTACCTTTCGAAGTATGTAAATTGAAGTGGTAAAAGATCAAAGATCTTTTACTTCCTGCCATTAAAGCGCAAGACAAAAACAGAAATGAAATGTATTGTTAACATATATATACATATATCTATGTATATGCTTTAATGTGTACTTACAACCTTCTAATCAAATCGTTGGTTT